GGTCTATAGTGCGCACCATCGTCAGGGAAGAGCTTCAGAAGGTCCTTACGCAAGTTCAGGGCTACACGGAAATAGAACCCGTAGCACCGAATGACATAGCATCTGTGGTCCGGGAAGAGGTTATAGAGGCGCTGGCACCACTCACAGGAGCAGGGAGAAGCAAAAACACTACCCAATGTTCACTTCCAGTTAGGTCGCAACCAAGACGTGAAGCCAGCCAGAGAACTGCTCCACAACGTAGGACAGATCTGTGGAGGACTGACGATAATGTACCTCTCTGTTTTCATTGCGGACGCCCAGGACATGTTCTGAGGTACTGTAGGGAAAGACGCCAGATATTTGAAAATGCAAGAGCCGCAAAGACGTCCAACCCTCGACGGGACAGGGATACTGAATCTACATACAGCTTCGACAACGAATATGCACAACCTAGTTCTTCCCGAATAAGGAGCAGTTCACCTTATCCGCGATGCTCTCTCAACCGCCGACAATCGCAGTCACCAGTACGCCATTCCAGCCGTTCCCCACGCCGAACCAATGAGGAAAACTAGCTCAAGCGACCTGTACAGGAGGTGAGGCCGCAGTTGAAGAAAATCCTCCGACGTACACCATCAGCCAAGTTGGAAAAGAATAACACTTTTATCACCGTGAACGGACAGTGTGTGAAAGCCCTTGTTGATTCGGGTGCCGATTATTCTGTCATATCCGAACAGTTACGTCGACAGCTAAATGCTCCTATGTTTGCTGAGAATGGACCTGTATTGAAAACTGCCTGTGGTAAAACTGTAGCTGCCTCGGGACGCTGTGTATTGAAAGTTGATTTGAATGGGACTAAGAAGCCGTTTGAATTCCTTGTGTTTCCTGAATGTAGTCATCAAATGATACTTGGATGGAACTTTTTCCGTGCCACCGATGCCGTTATCGATTGTGGAAATCAAGAACTTACACTTGCAGAAATCCTTCCAGACATATTTAATATTTAAATAAGTCACAGCTCTCCTTGTTTGCCGCAACCGATTATGTAATTGAAGCAAACACCGCAAAGCGAATATGTGCCTTGAATTCAGAGCTACGGGAAGCAGATGAAGCTATGATTGTTGGAAATAGAGTTCTTATGTGCGAAAAAGAACTATCGATACCAGCCTCAATTGTCACTATAGAGGATGGTTGTGGTAAATTATGGGTAACTAATTGTTCTCGACGAACCCAACTGATACCGAAAGGGATGAATGTCGGCTATTTAACGACCATAAAAAACGACGCTATTTGCTCCCTAAGTGATCAGGCTCCAGCAGGTTCCAAGGGACATAGGTCCAGGAAAAGGTTATCTCAAGAAAACTTAAAAGAGATTTTTGATACTGATTTGACCAATGCTGAGGAAGACGAGCTATTGAGTCTACTAGATGAATTTAGTGACATTTTTGACTTTAACAGTATTGCGAAAAAAATCCCGATGCAATTCGGTGAAGCACAAGATTGATACAAGTGACAGTGCACCAATCAAACAAAGGCCATACCGTGTGTCAGCCACTGAGAGGCGTGTGATTGCAGACGAAGTGCAACGAATGCTAAAAGAAGATGTGATACAACCATCAGATAGTCCATGGTCATCTCCAGTCGTGCTTGTGAAGAAGAAAAATGGTGAATGGCGTTTTTGTGTCGATTACAGAAAATTGAACAAGGTAACTAAAAAGGACGTCTATCCGTTACCTCGCATCGATGATGCTTTGGACTGCCTGGCTGGTGCAAAACTTTTCTCTATGATGGATCTGAAGTCAGGCTACTGGCAAATAGATGTGTTGATGATAAAGACAGAGAAAAGACAGCTTTTGTGACTCCAGATGGTCTCTATGAATTTAAAGTCATGCCGTTCGGATTATGCAATGCTCCAGCCACATTTGAACGGATGATGGACACGGTACTAAGAGGTCTCAAATGGAATATTTGTCTTTGCTACCTCGACGACATAATCGTGTACGCACCTAATTTCGAAGAACATCAAAAGCGTTTGAGGGAAATACTGAAATGTATCCAAAGAGCAGGACTGACGCTAAATTCCAAGAAATGTTCATTCGGCAAAAAGAAACTGACAATACTGGGACACTTAGTCGATCAACATGGGATATATCCCGATCCACAAAAGGTAGAGGCTGTAGCAAAGTTCCCTATTCCGAAAAATATCGCCGATGTCCGAAGTTTTCTGGGCTTGTGCTCCTACTACCGACGATTTATCTAAAATTTCGCAGATATAGCAAAGCCCCTACATGACTGACTTGTTGAAGAAAGATGCAAAATTATCTTGGAACGCATTACAGATTGAATCTTTCGCAACGCTCAAAAGGCTGCTGACCAGTGGCACTGTTTTGGGACATTTTATTCCAGACGCAGAAACCAGGATACATTCTGACGCTAGCGGCTATGGTATCGGTGCAGTACTGGTTCAGATCCAGGATGGCAAAGAAAGACCAATAGCCTATGCATCCAGGTCCCTTACTGCAGCTGAAAGGAACTATTCCACCACCGAAAAAGAATGCCTTGCCGTCATCTGGGCAATTAGTAAATTCAGGCCATACCTCTACGGAAAACCCTTCACGGTAGTCACAGATCACCACTCTTTATGTTGGCTGGCCAATGTTAAGGATCCATCCGGAAGACTTGCACGGTGGGCTCTCAGGTTGCAGGAGTACGACATAAATATGTCTACAAATAACGTCGTCTACAAAGCGGTCGGAAACACTCCGATGCAGATTCACTATCGAGGAAGCCTCTTATAGAACCAATAATTGAGAACAATGAAGACATCCCTTTCTTTGCAGCAATCGTAGATTACGGAAAAGAGCAGCAGAAGGACAAACGATTAAAATCCATCATTACAACTCTCAAGAGAGGTGACGCATATCAAAATTATCAAATAAAAATGGTATACTGTACAAAAGAAGCTATGATCCTATGGGACAGCAGTGGCTCTTGGTGGTACCAAAGCAACTTCGTAGCGAGGTTCTAAGAAGTCTTCATGATGGTTGATGCTCCAACCGCTGGCCATCTCGGATTTGCCAAAACGTACGACCGAATAAGGAGGAAGTACCATTGGCCAGGGCTATATGGAAGCACACGGCGGTATGTATCACACTGCCGAGAATGCCAAAGACGGAAATCACCGCCGCAACGTCCACCAGGACAGCTTCATCCGATAAAACCTCCTGACACACCGTTTACCAAAAATTGGAATAGATCTACTTACAAAATTGGAATAGATGAACTTCTTGGACTCTGAGATTACTTGGACGCTTTCTTATCCTGTTACTCGAAATGGGAACCGGTGGATTATAGTTTGCACAGATTACCTTACCAGATTTGCAGTCACAAAGGCAATACCGACAGCTGAGGGACACGAAATTGCCAGGTTTATAGTTGAAGAAATTGTACTGAAGCATGGTGCCCCCAAAGAAATGATAAGTGACCGAGGACGCAACTTCCTATCCAATGTTGTTAAAGAAGTAATTCATCTATGCAAGACGTCTCATCTGCTGACGACTGCTTACCACCCTCAGACCAATGGCTTAACTGAAAGATTCAATAAAACATTGGCAGACATGTTGTCCATGTACGTAGACGTTGAACAGAAAAATTGGGATACTATTCTACCATTTGTAACCTATGCCTATAATTCAGCCAAACAAGACACAACGGGATTCAGCCCATTCTTTCTCATTTATGGCAGAGATATCCAGACTCCTCTCGACGTAATTTTCCCATACAGTATCGAAGATCCCGAAGATAGTTATGCGCAACATCTGATCACTAGAGCTGAAGAAGCTAGACAGCTTGCAAAACTCCATATTCTTAAAGCGCAAACCACAGACAAGCGCCGATACGACGAGAGACATCGACCTGTCAGCTACAACATCGGAGACTTTGTCTGGGTCTTCACTCCAGTACGAAAGCTCCTAAGACGTTACTTTGGACCGTATCGAATAACACGACAGCTCTCTGACGTGACGTACGAAGTAGAAAGTATGGAACAAAATAAGAAACGACGGAATTCAAAAGACATCGTTCACGTGTTGAGGTTGAAGCCCTATCTTGATCCGAAAGTACAACTAGACGATGAAAGAAAGCCCAATATTTCCAGGAGACCTGTTTACAAGAAGCCAGACCAGAATCGCAGCGGGACGCTGCTTCTTCCTAAGAAGGGGAAATGTAGCGAAAATCGCTCTTTTCAATCGACCGAGCTCCTCATAGCTTAGCGGAGAAGGCGCAGGACTCGAAACCTGAAAGTACCGGGTTCGAAACCCATGAACGGCAAGATGCCTGATAATTGGTTTTTATGTAAATATCTTTGTTGTTAATGTTATCTTATTTATGTAAATTTCCTTCTTATTCTTCCAAAACATTCCAAGCCTGGAATGTTTCAGCATGTTCACCAGCTGTATATAAGTAGCTCTTCATTCAGTTCTAGTTAATAAAAAATCTTGAGTTTAAACTTGTACTTGCCTGTTCATTTGTAAGATCCCCTCATCTATGCGAAAATATGATAATAATTATTATTATAAACTGGATTAATGATTTTTAATCCAGTTTTTGAATCTTGCACATGCAAGAAATGCAAATTTTTAAATTAAAAGTATTAATTTACTAGGAATGGAAATTTGAGATGGTAATAAATAAGATATAATGGCTCAAAGTAAGCATTTACATATAAACAGAAGTTTAACATCAGTTAACACTGGTTTGCTGCCCCCCCTGCTACCACATCTACTGTATATTACAAATAATTATATAAATCTACTGCTTAAATAAACTTCAAATGTTAAATTACTGCATATTCATAAAAATTTAATATAATATGATTAAACTTCTGATTAATAATGTCAGAAACATCCACAGAGTTGTTGGCTGTGATATTAGGAATTCAAAATGTGAGCTAATTTTCATACTTTGAAAAATGCAAAAATAATGCTCCTTAAGAAAATGTAGTTACACAAGAAAGTTTTTTTTACCTATGTTCTTCAATAAAAACTGTGTGAAGGTTGCTGCAATAATGTTCCGGTCAGGTGAAATAAGCTCAACTTCTTGCTGGCAACCATCATCGATAAGTAAAACTGGTTCGCCTTGCAGATAATTCCTACTACTTTGAAATTTGAACTAAATAATTAAACAAAACATTTAGTTGCCTTTTATAAACATGCATTAAATGAAAAGAATATGAATTCCATTATCACTATAATTCTCAAAATGAATTTAACTGTTAGCAACCCTTTTTTTTTTTTTTTTTTTCATTTCAGGGTGAAAAGTAGTATTCTTTGGAATTATAATACAATATATACACTCAGTTCAAAGACATGTCTTTATTTTACAAATGGGCAGGAGACTCTGCTAAAGTCACATTAATAACGGTACTTTTTTTTTAGGCTATTTGAATATGGCAAAGTTATGAGGGCTATCTGCCTAAGAGAAGGGATGCTTTAATGGAGGACATTCTGAGGAAAACTGCTGAAGAAATTGGAAACTTAACTCAGCCACCAGCATGCCTCACATAAATACAATAAAATAAAACATAAAATACCTGAGGAACATTTTTATTACAATAGCATTTAATTTACTAACAATTCTTATTGATCAGAAAGCATATTATCTATCAGGTTCTTCAGAAACAATGTCAGAATCTGATTTTTTTAAGCTATTGATAGATATTTTAACCAAATATGAACTTCAATTAGTCTGATTAATCTCAGTAATATTTACATTGATTATTCCGCCCTATATTATTTTCTGAGTTATCAAACATTTTATGCATGCATCTTTTTACTTCCTTGTATGAAGTAAAAAGGAAGTATTGTAATCGCGAAAAGTTTCAGGCAGCATATTTCAACGAAAATATCCATTTTGACCGCTATCGAATGCAATTTAACGATGTTTTTTGCGTGATATCTGTACGTAAGGACAGAATAAAAGACTCTTTTCCTTCAAAAAAATTATAAAACTGCTTTAAAATTAATTCTGAAGAGAATTTTTCGTGGCGTCTGTACGAATGTATGTACGTACGTATCTAGCATAACTCAAAAACGAGTAGCCTCAGAACATTGAAATTTTGTGTATAGGACTGATATAGCATGTAGATGTGCACCTCGTATTTTGGTTGCAAATCGGCCGCACCAAACGTATATAAATATATTTATATATATATATCCACTCTGTTACCCGGCTCAGTGATCTCAGTTTCTTTACTCTTATATGTTTGTAAATTGTACATTTTTTGCTTTAAAAATGATTGTATAAGGTTGTTTTTATCTTCCGATTGAGGTTTTTATGCCTTAACCGGTAAGTAAATGTTAAGTAAATCTGTATGCAATATTTTTAGAATTATCAACAATTTTAAAGTTGTCCAAGTGCCGCTAAGCCTTTTTTTTATGGCGGCCATTGATGTTTACATTTGAAACAGGAGACTAGTGGATTTGTTGCCAATCTAGAGAAACTTAGCTTCGCAACAACAAAGATAACGCATTCATTTATTATTGCCAATTAAATCATGCTTAATTCTTTCTGGAATTTTTTTGAGGAAATAAGTGTTTAAGATTTACTTCGTAATTTTTAATATAGATATTTTGAGTTTTTATGTATTTTTGCCTTCTCGCAAAGTGAGAACTGAATTAAATGAGAAATACTCAATCGTCCATGAAAAACTGTTTCTTTTTTGTTTTGTTTGCTTAATTTCTTTTATACATCATTCTAGCTTTATTATAGTATTTGAATAGAACATGTGGCAACGATTAGATAATTCTATTCTTTAAATGATTCTTTTAATGATTTTGTGCATTATGAGTTATAATATGAACGAAATATATAAGTTAACTGTTATATAATTACTGGATTATATAACAGTTAACTTAGTTTCCGTTATATAATTATTATATAAGTTTTATATAATTACTATTGCTGTTAAGTGAATCTAGCGCCAGAGTGTCGCTATGGTAAACAAATACTAGAGTGAATTTTAAAGAATGCATTTATTCTATTGTGGTTTATGCGCTGTCGGTGAAGTAGATTTAATTAAATCCAATAAGTTTAAATGAAATGCAAGAAAAAATGCGTATAATTTAATATTCCAATACAAGGAATTCATGTTGTGTAAACATCAGATTTTTTTTTTTAAACAAAGCTGCACTTTCTTAGTCAAATTATAATACAATATATAAACACAGTTCTCAGTAAGTTACATGTCGTTATTTTACTCTGCTAAAGTCACATTAAGAATGCTACATTTTTTAGGCTATTTGAATATGGCATAGCTATGAGGGCTATCCGCCTAAGAGAAGGGATGCTTTAATGGAGGAAACTCTGAGGAAAACTGCTGAGGAAATATGAAACTTAGAAACTCAACCACCAGCATGGCTCTAATAAATACAATAAGCATTAAAATTATTAAAATACCTGAGGACCATTTTTATTACGATAGAATTTAATTTATTAACAGTTCTTATTGATCAGGAAGCATATTATCTATCAGGTATTATTATATACAAAATTATAGGTGGAGAAAAAACACTGATCAGTGAAATGATGCTAAATATAAAGCATGAAAATCCAAAATTTATTGAAATAAATATGTAATATTTCTATGTTTGGATTGGCTACTGTCATGAATATATCTGCAAATATGCCCAAATCATACAAATTCTACTGAATGTTGAAACATAAGTATGGCTAATCAGAAATTATCAGTATCTATTCTGGGCTATTAAAATATATAAAAATTTGGACATTTCTTCTTTCTATTCTAAATATGATATTTTTTAAAATTTATTACAGATCACAAATAATATTAAAAAACACTACAAACATTTATGCATTAAACAATGCAAGTTAAAAATAATTAACATGCTAAAACTTGCTATTAACAACTATTTTAATTTATCATTGAAATACTCCCAGTTTAGTTAATACTTATCAGGCTATACCTGTAAGCAGTGATTAACCCTTTCAGGGACAGACGACATATACATCAACTGCACACTGCATCTCATAGCAAGCTGTGTCATACACGAATGCCGTTTAAATTGGGTATTAGGTTGGGTGATTACATAAGAACTTTTAGATAGAATGTTTAATTGATACTTTTCCATTACTATTCTGCCCTCCTTTTTCGGCCCCTGTGAAACAGTAGCCAAACACATGCCAAAAGCTAACACCAGAAACATCTGAGGACTATGCGTGCATTTGCATGTATATATAAACAAGAATTAAATACATATGCACACATACAATTACAGTGCACTAGAAAAAAGAGGCACCTAAACCTGGCTAGCTTGAGGCCACCTTACATGGTTAACTGCTCTAACACCCAGAGAGGTGATCCAAGGAAGACTAATCCCCCCAGTCAAGCCAGGGGGACAACTTTTGTTTCACATAGTCTGGGTATAAGCACACAATGGTGGACTGCAATGGATCCACATAAAATCAAAGAATATAATAAGACATCGACCATCCCCCAGCATATAATTACAACACTGCCAAAATGTGTGTCAGCTGCATAACGGAAAAGTACCATTTGATCAGTACCTTTTTTTGCCACTAGATGTAGTCCTATGTCTGTTATGGAGGAATTTAATGAGACTGGAGAACGTTGACCTCATTCCATTGCAATATTTTTTATTTCTGGTATTTTGCTTCAGAATTAAAGCAGAAATTGTGGACTCAGCAATGTAAATAAACAGAACTGATTATTAACTGTATCACCTGATATAAACACACATGGAAATGTTTTCAATGCTTTTGAATACTTTTTTGGTTTTCAACTTTTTTTATTTAATTTAATTTTTTTTTTTTTTTTTTTTGTTTTTGTTTTTTGTATGGGACTACGTGTTTTATTGCTTTAGAGGTTTTACTCATGCCTCTTCGAATTTGGCGGGCATTGAGTTGAGGTAAATATTTTGTGCATTGCTTTGCAAAACATTTTTTATACTTTAAATGGCAAGGAAAATATAATTAAATTTTCAAATTTTTTGACAGCTACTTGAGTGTTATTCTTATAACATGCCAAAAATTGGAGTATCTGAATAACAAACTTAATTCATGCAATTTATTTCTAAGTTAGGCTTAGCAGCACATACTGCCCATCCGAAAAAGACAGTGCATTGTGTCCCATTCAGACATGTCCCATGTCTGACAGTGCATTCAGTGCTCTGTCCCAAGATAGCAGTTTAATGACTGAGGTGCTTGTTGCAAAAATGGTTAACCAAGTTTGAATTTATCACCAAATGATATTGCAAAACCCAAACCATAACAAAAACTAAGTAAATTTTTTTAAAATTCTGCACTCTCATAATAACTGTTTACATATGAGCTTGAGAATCTTCTTCAGTTCACATGATATGTACATACAAAACATGCATCAACTTCAGCTAAAAACTTAAAACTGAATTAAGAATTGCGTAATCATTTTTCTTTCCTTTACAGAAAATAACATCTTTTTTCTCAGACTCAAAATGATAAAATTATCAATTTACTATAAGGTGATATTGAAGCTGTAACTTTTTTCCAGGATGGGAGTATTTTACTTTTCAATCAAATATGTAAAATGGATATGAAATGAAGTTATATTCTACTGTAGAAGTCATAATGAGATGCAATGTTGGAAATAGCCAGAAAAAGACACTGCATCTACAACTTTTTGTTCCAGAAACTGGCACTTATATGCAAATTATTGACAGACTACGCAGTTCTGTTTTGTTGAGAGCAGAAATCAAAAAAGAACACAGTATGGTATGACTTGCCAGCATCTTGAGTCATACCTGGCCGAGTTCAACTGGCAGTAAAAAAAGGCTGTGGTAGTTGGAATTTGTACTTTTGATATAAATTTTTTTACTGTCTTTTTTTTTTCATTTTCATTAAAAATTAATTACTTTTGTGAGCTGCACGTGGTGCTAAAATAAACATATATAACTTTTTTATATAAATGTATATTTACAAAATACATGCTACATTAAACTTATTCAACGCAACTTACCTTTGTCGAAGGACAAAGGCGAAATGTAATAAGATGTTTAGGAAAAAATTTCCACATGTATTCCTTCAATGTAAGTTGCTACAGGAAATAAATATAGATTAAAAATAATGATTTAACACCACAACTAGGCTTTAAATATGCTATAAGTTCAGATAAGATGAGTTCCAGAATTTTGAAAAATGCCTTACCTTTGGTGATATGTAACAGTACACTTTTTTTGGTTTTTGATTTCGCTCTCCATTGATAGCCAGTAATTTAACCTCATAGCATTTATTCTTCTTAGCAACATTTTTTTGTACCATAAAAGCTTCTTCTTCTAATTTAAAGAAAAGATTATTTTTTAAATATATTGCAAACAATATATATGTTACCGCTAAAGTGTAGAAATAAGTTATTCTGCAGATTATCTAGCTAATCTGCAGATTAACTACAGTGATCCATTCAAGTGGGGAAAATTGTTTCATTTCTCAAATTACCTAGGTAATCTGCACATTACCTACTAGGCACTACAGAAATATTGCTGGAACAAAAACAACGTTTTTGTATGCTAAAAACAGCTACAACTTACACTTTTAATCGTTGATCACAGAGGATTTCATTTTTCTGATACTGCAAATCTAAATGTACCACAAATACATTTGCTTGTTGCAAAATCCAGGTGCTATGCAATTTAAAATGTCACTAGTATTTAAATTGCACTAATAAGTAATTGCAAGAATACTTAAAATCGTTTTAATCTTGCAATTCAAAGTGTCACCAGTCTTTAAATTGCACTAATAAGTAATTGTAAGAATACTTAAAACCGTTTTATTCTTTGTATTATAGTTTTTTTAATTGACCGATGATTGATTATATCAACTAATATGTTGATTTTATTAACTTGATTTTTTAGATATTGAAAAATAAATAAATAACATTATGTTAATTTAAGCATACAGTAATGTTGTTCCAGCAAAGATCTTATTTTCAGTTTAACGAGTGTCTAGTGGGTAATGTGCAAATTAGAGAAAGAAGGAAAGGAAATGAAAGAAACAAACTTTTGAATTTTAATGATATGGAAGCCATTAATGTGCACATTACCTAAGTTAAATGTCGAAAAACTCTTGATTCCACACTTTAATGTAGCAAATCAATTAATCTGCAAATTAGCTAGGTAATGTGCCCATTAACGACTTTTGCACTTTAGAGTAGTAACATATACAATCCCAAAATTTACAGCCTCACTATCTTAAAACTTATAAGAAAAAAAAAAAAAAAAAAAAAAGAGTCTAGGATGAATATTAGACATCACTCACTATTTAAAACAATTACATGAAAATCTCCATTTTGAATAGTCTGCCCTTTATAAGAAACAGTTGCACGATAGCAGCCTTCTTTTGGAAATTTTAGCACTAATGCCAAACGAGAAACTAATGGATAACATTCCCATCGAAAAGAATCTGGTATGGGCCTACTTGAAGTAACCTACAAAAGAAAAACACTTTTTTAAAAATATGATGATACATAATTAAAATGCTCATTTGCTATAATTTCATAAAATTTATTCTTAATATTTCATTCATCTGCATTTATGTTAACATTAAGAATTAATTAGTTTAATGCAAACAAATAGGTATAATGTAAGTTATTGAACTGTGAACATTAAACCTCTTAACATTGAAAAGAATAGCCATAAGTAGTGAATATAACCTAATACTGAGCCAGCTCAATAGTCTGAATTAAGAAATTCTGAGTTTTAAAAAAATACAACATAAAGCACATACAACTGGAAATAAAAGAAGGTTATCATGTGAAAATATAAGTATGCATTGAAAAAAACATTTAGGTTAACAAAAGAAAAAAAAAAAAAAAAAAAAAAAAAAAACTTAAATTCTTTAAAATATAAAATGAAAATACAGATTTGTGTTCCTCATCTAATTTAAAATGATGCATTAAATTATATTTAATAATGACTAGAATTATAATATAAAAATTAAACTCAAAATTTTTAACGTAATTTTTGTCATAAAACTATATTGTTATGTCTGTACAGGTTCACAATAAACTGAATGCACAAAGAACTGATGATAGCTTAATAAAATTTATTTTCTCCAAAGAAACATTTTATAGTTCTGGAACATTCCACAAAATAATCATACAACTCTTCACATAATAACACAGTAAAATCAGTAATTACACTTCAAACTACTACGAACATTAAACACAGCACAATGCAAAGCACATCTAAAAGGTGAAGCTCTCATGGAGATCTCTCAAATCTCTGAACTCAAAACTGAGAACTGATGCTCTCTCCAATCTTGTATAGTTTAATCCTGGCTGAATAGAAATTTCCACTTTTTGAAATTACTGAAGGTAATGCATGAGGTTAAAGGTAATGTATAAGGGCCCGGTATGGTTACAGTTACATGTAGGGATCAATTACAATTATTCAATTACAGTAGCAATTATATTTATATAGAGATCGGACCAAAATGTTGCCAAATGGTCACCTGGTGACTAAATTAGCAGAAAAAAACATTGCCAGCTTGACAATATCTCGCCAATTTAGTGAGATAGCCATTTACCTGTATGTTAAATAGATTTATTTTTATAACCTTATTTTTCTGGCAGAACTTTGCTCTCTTCAGACTTTTCATGTTACAATATACAAAAGCTACAACAATTTTAAACATAACTCCACTAAAATTATTTACATACACACAAAACTCATAACAATACATACAATTCAGCAATTCAAGATGCTCACCTGATGAATATAAAATTTACTTTAACATTCCTTAAAAGTATTAAACTATAAAATACATATACACTTACTTCAATGATATCAACACTATATTCATTACTCGGATCACACTGACTATCAACTGTGCAATGGTTACCATATCGATCTCTAGGTTCAATGAAAAGCTGAGTAGGTATATCTTCACTTCCAACTACTGTGGAACAATGATGGACAAAACAAGTCTTAAGTGGGTCTGGTGGACCTAAGAAAAGTATTAAAAATAAATGTTCTAAGTAAATATGTTATCATCGGTTTCCTACAGCACAATACACACACCTAAACATTTAAGAATCAGTATTATGATACTGAAACAATTTATTCTAGAAAATTACTACATTATCTTTCATTAGGATTTTATTCTTGAAGATAATCAACAAATGCAGCAATTACCATTTCCATGTGGGGGAAAAAAAAAAAAAAAAAAAAAAAAAACCTGTTTGTTCTTATTTGCTACTTAATCCAAAGCATAATTTATGTAACTATATAGTGTCTACTCCATCCAGGATGCAAATTAAAAATGAAAGTATGTAAATATAAAATAACTTCAAAAAACTTTAAAATGATTATGGCAGTTATAGATTACCTTCAAACTAGCAAAACAATTAATTCGGATTATTATTGTAACCTTTTGAATCAATTAGACGAAAAAATTCGTGAAAGAAGACCCGGATTACAGAAGGAAGAAAATAATTTTCTACCAAGATAACACACCTGTGCGCACAGCTCAAAAAACCATTGCTAAAATAACTGAATTGAATTATAATTGTTGCAACATCCGCCTATTCACCGGAGTTAGCCCCTCCACTTCTGGCTCTTCCCACACCTCAAACAATATCTCCGTAGAAAATGATTTTCTTCCAACGAAGAGGTAATAGCTGCCGTGGAGGGATATTTTGCAGAGCTGCTGAAAAACCACTACAGTCAAAGGATCCATAAATTAGAAGACCGTTGGAATAAGTGTATTGAAGTTGAGGGAAACTATGTTGAAAAATAAAGTCATTTTTACAAATAAAAATTGGTTTCTTCATTTTCGTTACACGAACTTATTGAACAACCTGGTATATATCACATTTTTAATGAAATGAAAAATGATTTTGAATGGCGATATATTTTTACATCACAAATATAACCAATAAATAATAGTCTATTATATAAATGCTACAATTTAAGACTACTTTGCTTTACTATGCAGGCTTATAAATGAACATACATAGGCTTATCCTCTAGACAGCCCTCCCCTCCCTAAAATCAAAGAAAAATAAGTTTTTTCTGTAAATTTCCTTTTAGACTTAATTCACAAAAATAACATTTAAACACCAGTGTTTCTAATCTAATTGAACACGTTAATTTGCAATTCACAAAAAATATATCGAGAAATTGCACGTGATATTAAGGAAAGACAAAGCAAAATTATTTAATATCTACACATAATTTACATTTACATACTAATCTATAAATTCTAGCAGTTAATTTACTTTTATTTAAATAGTAATGTAAGCAATTCGTATTGTTATATACATCTCATATAAGGATCTTAAATGTAGAAATGACACATAATGGAAAATATAACCAATTAGTCATAAAAATATGAAATTCGTACCAGGTAAGAATGTTTTAGTAAATGGACTTCCTCTGATATGAGTCATGCCAACTAAAACACATATACAATATTCCCCTGCTCGACGCACAGTGAACTGAACTTTTGCTTTATTTGCATCACAGATTTGTGGTCCCCCAAGTTCTATGCTACAAGCAATCTTGTGAACTCCCTGAGTGACTTCAATAAGAATGTTATCTTCATTGCAAATGGGATACCCTTGACCATTTCTTTGAAAAAACTGGAAGAAAATATAAAAAAATATAAACACGTAGAACATAATGTTAGCTTTGATTGTTCTAATGAAAGAAAAGTTATGTAATATGAGGAAAATAACTTTATGCAATATATCCAGTGGCGAACTTAAAGGGAGTTTGTAGTGGCTGATTAATTCAAACCCTTTCTTAAATTTGTATTTAATCTGCAAACTACCATTCATTTTTGTTTGGAACTAGAATGTATTATTACTGAATGTATGAACACCTTTATAATTAATGGTTTATATACATACCAATTTTCTAACAATGATTTAAAAAAAAAAAAAAAAAAAAAAAAAAAAAAAAAAAAAAAATTTGGAATCAAACTCCAAGAAACTTTTTCTAATACTGTAATTCATCACTGCATATTGCACAGTTATAATTATCATTACAAGATCTAATCAAAAATCCCATTTAAATGAATAATTTTGAAATATATCTTGATAAATTAATGCTTGTTATTATTAGTCTCCCAAATCAGAAAGGCTCACCAGCGCTGAACACTGGTAGTTCGGTCCGAGGTTCAAATCCCGCAAACGGGCTGGCTGCATGGACGTTTTTGTGGTTTTCCCCATGTGTAATATGTATACGAGCCAGTTTCCCTTAGAAAGTCCCTCCACAAAGGCATCCCTTCCCTTAGGCAGATAGCCCTAGTGTGCTTTACCATAATTAAATAAACCAAACCCAAATCAGAGAGAATATGAGACTGGGAGCATAGAAATTTAAATAGCGGCCATGCATACCAGAAAGCATGTAGTTTACAGAACAGTTTTGAAATGTGGAGGAATTATCTAGCTTTATACAAGCATTTTGCAATGAAAGATCTGATATTTGCTGATTTTTTTAAAATTTATTCTCATTCCTGTCCGATTGTTTTTTCTGTTTTTGCATAAAGTAAAATATTTTGTTAGAATTTGACACTTTTTTTATAGAATAAAATGGAAGTCTTTTGTTGATTTTTTTCATAATTGATTATAACAATAAACTAATTTAAAAATGTAACATAAAATTAGCGTAAATAAATATAAAATCAAATACTGATTTAGATATCATTCAAAAGCAGTCCTACTTCACAAAAACATTATTTTGATTATTCCCATTTACAATAAAAATTGTAGTAAAATGTGCAAATTTTGAATGCTTAACAGACAAATCATACTTTTCTAGATGTCTGATAGAAATGGTTTAAACATTACATTACATTCTTCAGTTTGAATTTCGTAGAAGCTTTTGAAATTTTTTTTAGAGCAACACTATGAATTATGCTGCAAGACCTGATATTTATGCAGAGTAAAATGGAGGACATGGGAACATGTCCTAGGGCTCCACTTTTAGGGGGCTTAAAAATCTGTCTAATCTGATTTTTGCTGAGGAATTAACTTTTAGGTAAAAATATATTTCAGGGTGTCCCTTGGTGAAAACTGGAGATTTTTTGGTACCATTCCTTTTTACATCCAATGCCCTTCCCAGTAAAATGATGTCCAAAACATAATGCAATAAGACATAATTAGAATAAAAGGTAAAAATTTACAATTGAGTGCTCTTGTTTTTTTGGCAATTCTTTCTTGATGCTAAGATCAGAGCCAACAAGGCACAATTTCAAGGTGGCTGCAACACGAAACCAAAATAACAGGTCAAAGAATTGCACAAACTCTGTGTCATGCACACATCAATCTATTTTCACTTAAAAAAAAGAAAGAATTGCACAAACTTGGCATTGCACACTGCCTTGACTTTGCCCATGTACACATTGATCTAGTTTCACTTAAAAATCGAAGGGGCAACGAATTCTTAACTAGAGCCAAACAATATATATATATATATAAAATATCAATAAACTGAATTTTAAACCAAACAATGAAGTAACATAAAAAAGGAAATACATGTCGTCTCATTATACGCACTACAAAAAGGAAATATTGACGTATCTTATTTAGAAATTTCTCTATCTTCTAGTCTGTGGCACAAAGAACTGCATCAAAAAACTTTCTAAAATTATCCGAACCAGAATATGCATACTGCCTTTACCACATAAATTCACAAAAATAAGAGTAAAAAATATCCTCTGTAGTGCTGGACCGTCGGTGGCATTTCTTCCGAAAATCTCTTTTTATTACACTCCAGATACCTTTGATAGTGTTGATATGAGCTCCAGTTTCCGGATCCTTAAATGTCACTGCACAATTTACTGAGAAATGAACAAATCCATTATCAAAAATATAATCGTACGACTTCCAGCAATTGGATATGACTATTGTTCCAGGTAAAATATTCCCTTGAATTACATCCAACAAAGTTTCGTTTCTTCTGTCCCCCCCCCAAAATAAACTTCCGCTCTCTTGATCTATGCTACCGAACACCCAGTTTCCTACCAGCAGCTATTTTATAATGTAAAGAACAAAATACCACGGTTCGTACACATTCCTGCAAATTAAGTACTTTTAAAGAGTTTTAAGGACCAGTAAATGAAAAAAATTAAGGACCTATTGGCTGAAATGGGAGCCGAATAAATTCAATTAAAATTCAATCAACTTATGTCTGAACTCTGTTTCTGTAATAACCCTCTAAGAATAAAACAGATTCGTAAGTAGGATGCATTCTCATTAATCATAATTTAATTAACATAACTTTAAAACAAATGTGAAAATAAAATCCACTTTATAAAATTTATCAGGTAGCATTAAATATTTTACACGTATAATAGTTGGACATAGTTTGAAAGAAGATTAGGGACATTTTGCTTATGTTTCACTAACAGTTAGCTTTATGTTGATTTTTTCCTTTATGTCTCATTTTGCCATGTACTTAGTCTAGAGGTTTAGTAAATAGCAGGTAGATTTAATGTCAAATGGCATAGACTAAAATAAGAAATAAAATCAAATCAATAATCATAATTGATATAAATTAAGCCAAAATGTCTGTCAAATTTATATCATAATTGATATAAATTAAGCTAAAATTGATATAAATTAAGCCAAAATGTCTTCTGTTGCGAATCATACATTTCGCAACAGAAGACTGGCTGTTGCCAGTGCTGCTGCTTGCCTAGAGATCTGTTAATTAGAATAAACCTGAAAGCCTGATGTAGTTTTGAGCTTGGCAAGTTTTGAAAGTTAGTTGTGCTTCATCTGTCTGACGCAGTTAGTGTTATAGCTTCATGTAGAGTTCCTGACATTGTAAGCTAGTTAATATATTTTAAGGTTCCAATAAGCCACTAATGCACCTAGTGATGGGCAACTTTGGTACTTTCTTGTACCCGGTACAAAATACCTGTTACTCAAGTAACCGTTACTTTGAAAAGTACTAAAAACCGATTTCAAGTACCCAGTACCCAAGTAACGATTTGGAGTACCGAAGTAACGAAATACCGGAGTAACGGTTTGCTGTACCAAAGTACCCTAGTAACAATTTGGAGTACCGAAGTGCCCTAGTAATGATTTGGAGTACAGAAATACACAGCTAATGATTTTGCGCTCTGAAGGAACTCTGCCACGTCACCACGTGTTTGATTTTATCTGTATGGACTAAGATTTTGAATAGCAGAAAACATGTCAACTACGGAAGTGTCTGAGGAGCAGGAGAGAACGGCGGGTTGTTTCTGGTGTTGGGTTTGTGTAGATTGTCTTTGATGGCCAGTGGGAGTTGGGAGGATTGGCGCGGGAAGTGGATGGATGAAAACATTTTTGCTTTCGGTTGTGTCTTGTGCGCAGGTGCAGCAAAATCGATGGGTGCTCTATCAATTTCATGAAACGGATCATTCATAAATGATGTCACGCTTGGAGTGGGGGTTAGAGAAATTGGGACAGTTTGTGACAAGGCAGGGGAGAGGGTAACAAGAAGTGTGACATCATATTTTGATTAAAATAAAAATGTTTAAAATCAGCAGATTGAATTTTGAAGTTATTTTAAAATTATTACCAAAATTTGAAGGTATTTCCTTAATTGGGGCAAAAGAAACTTTCATGTGATTTTTTTTTTTTTTTTACTTACATTCCTTTCTTTCCAAAAAAAAAAAAAAAAAAAAAAAAAAAAAACATTCAGAGTTGGTTTTGAGAATAGGGTAGTGGCAGAAATTGTAATTTTATTGCTATTGTGTATTAATTATGTTTTTTGCTGCAAACTTTTCTCTTATTTCATACAAAATAAGTGCACAAATCATTATTATTGTTATATTTACAGATGTCATTAAAACATATAGTTTAAATTTAAAAATAAAGTCTGAAATATGATCTATAACGTAGTGCTACGTTTATGAACTGCAAGTATAAGTTTAAGTAATATTGCGTGACATGTGACAAAGGGGGGAGGGGTATGTTGACACTTTGGGACAAAGAGGGGGAGGGGGGTCCAAAATGTTGCAGAAAAGTGTGACATCATTTATGAACAGCCCCAAACGAGCATAGTTGCGTACTTGAAAAACGTCGGAATATTTTCTTTGTATGATATTGAAGGAAGGGAGAGTACACTGTGTTTTTTTCGGCCGTGCTGTGTTGTGTTGGAGGGAAACAAAGGGAGAAAATCGGAAAATAGAAATTTTGATGCAACACTATACTATGAGTAAAAATGTCGCAATAAATTTAAAATAGAAAATTAACTATAACTAGCTGTGTAGTAACCCGATAGGATGCAGTTTCCTAAGTAAATATCAGAAATTTAATGATTAATCTGTTTTAACATGATATTTTTTATTTATACGGATAAACAACATACCACAGAAGTCGTTTAATACCTTCAATTCGGTAGTAAAGGGCATAGGGATGCATAGGGTCTAGAAATTAAAATAATCACAAACCTTTATCCCACTTATAGATAAGATAATGACCTTCAGTACCACTGCGAAATAAAACTTATTCAAGCTACCAAATTTTAAAAAAGATAAATCTCCCATTCTCTTCTCTCCCCTATGTATATTAAAAATTCTGAATAAAAAAGTAAGATAATTTAAACATTAAATATAACATAAATGACCTTGTGTGTTTAATTGTACAATACTGGCATAAAATAAAATTTACACATTTATTCATATACACATGGTTGAAGAGCTTTTCCACAAAAAAGTTTATACTGTTCCTTTTTAAATTACATTTAGGTTTATTTTAAGTTAAATTTGTACTTTTGGAGATTTGGCACCGTACAATAAACAACAAAATGATTAGAAATATTTTTAAAAACAAAAAATATGATTTTGCATAAACATATATATATTTAATTGCATAAACATATATATATTTGATTTAAAAATTTTGAATTACCTAAAGCACTAGAAAATGAGGTATGTTTTGAAAAGTGAGATAATGTAATATATTTGGATGTACTACAGTAATAAGTAAATTTCAGCAAAATGGTAGAAAATATTTTTAAAAATGCACAATATGATTTTAAAAGGCACATTCATATAACAATTTTGAATTGAAGATTATCAAAAAACACTAGAAAATAAGATAGCAAAGGGTTTAAAACTGTGAGAGCGCAATACCAGTAACTGCTGTAAACACAAAAATGCAACAGAATGGTAAAAAATAAATTTTAAAAACTCAAATTACAGCCAAAGCGCATTCGACATAAGAATTTTGAGTGAAAGATTATTAAAAACACTAGGAAATAAGGCAGCATGTCTTTAAAACTACGAGAACGTAATATCTGGATGCTGTAACAGCAAAAAGCAACAAAAATATTTGTAAAATCGCATTATATGAATTCAATAAGTACATTCGATATAAAAATTTAAATTAAAGATGATTTAAAACACTAGAAAATAAGATAGCATGCTTTCAACTATATGAGAACTTAACATATGTGAGTACAGCTAAGTAAATAATAGAACTGTAGAACTTTATATTATATTAATAATCTAAATACAATTTCAAAATAATATTTTTTTAAGAAATTGACATTTGAATGAAGTAAATATTTCATTTAATTAAAACAAATAAAACTTTGATAGGCTGTGCAAAACGTTATAAAAGTATCAAATTTTTTAACTTTATGGAAATTTTAGGCATTTAATTCCTTCTATTTTTTTATAAAGACCACTTAAAATATGTAACGAAAAATTAAGCATAAAAAAATTGACTCCCAGAAACAGTTTTGAAAATAATGCAGCGAAAATAAACATAGAAATAAACATTTTAAGCTGAACTTAGGTTGGAATTTTAAGAAGGTCAACAAATGATTAAATATTATAATTGTAATGTAAGAAAATTAGTTGTTTCAACTTTTGTCCACTCAAACGGTTTCGCCGATCATTCAGTATTAATCCAGCTTTAGAGAACCCTTTCGCATGGCACTGAAGTAGCCACAAGGCCTAATTTTTTTCCGTGATAATTCATACAAATTAGGAAATACATTTTTATTCTTTTCCCACCACTCCAGTGGATCAGATTTCCTGGAAAGAAGGGGCTCTTGCAGGTATCTTTTCACTTCTGCCGCAGCTTTGTCGATCGCCGCGTCTGCTGCGGGAGCTGATGAAGTTCGAGAGTCTCTCAAACTCGAACCAAACCAAACCAAACTTTACTCTCAAACTCGAACCAAACCAACCAAACCAATGATTCGTCTAATCTCTTCATCATCCCCTTCCACATCCTCAACAAGATTATGGGTAGTTTGTGCAACTACCGATGACTCGCAGATAATATCACTTTCAATTTTTTTGGCGACATCACATTTGAGCCCCAATTTTTTTATTCGGGGGTCAAGGAAAGCGGCTTGAGCAATGTCTTCTCTTGAATCGATAGTTGTAAATCTATTACCCAATTCACGTTGTAGTACTAGTACCACATTTTGTACTTGTTCATTAACACTTTTACTAAGCAGATTTTCACAGATTTTTTTAAAATCCGCCGATTAACACAGGCGCCATAGATGCTGACAAGTATTTTTCCGAACTCAACTCGCAAGTCACCTTTTCAAAAGGTTTCAAAACGTCACAAAGATGTTGGACACTTTCCCATTCTGGCACATCAAGAGCCTCTGGGGGGTCGTTCATCAAACCCATTGTAGAACGAATAGCGTCTTTCAGTTCAAGGAAACGTTTTACCATATAAAATGTGCTGTTCCAACGAGTCTTCACATCTAAGATGACTTTTAAGTCTTTTCTCTCCTCCTGGCTAGAGCACAGATATTTTCGCAGATTTTTTGCAGCGATATTACTTCTCCTGTAAACTATCACAATATCCCTAATTTTCGTTAGAAGGTCGTTAACCTCGTTTAGAGAATTTGTGACAGCCAAATTGAGAGAGTGTGCAATGCATCCTAAATGTTTTAACTTTAGTTCGCTGTCGACAGCGTTAATCATATTTTTTTGGCATTGTCAGTCACTATTAAAGACACTTTTTCCATCGGAAAATATGGTTGGCAAATGTGTATGATATTTTCTGCAATATTTTTGGCTGAATGACGTTCATCAAAAATTGAGCAGTCAATCAGTACCGTTTTCCTTTGCATGTGCTCGTCAATAAAATGGCCTGTCACGGCCATGTAACTTTCAGCCTTTTGGTTGCTCCAACAGTCTACAGTCAAACAGATATTTTGTACAGCACTAAAAACCTTTTTCTAAACTATTCTTTTTTTCTTCATAAGCAGCAGGAAGCAAGGATTTAGAAACCGTTTTCCATGAAGGTAAGGAATAGGTTGGATTCACAGCCTTTGAGTATTCTCGGAATCCCTCATTTTCTACGATACTTATTGGTTGTAAATCCTTATATACCATTTTGATCAGTGCGCGATCGATTACTTTTTTTTTTTTTTTTATGTACATCCATCGTATTTCTCTGGACAAACTGCATTATGCTGGACTGGGATTTTGTGTGAAAATACACCAACAATATCACAAGCACTGTTGTCTACCGTAAGTTGTGTAGTCTGCTGGGATGTGCATGGTTGCCCACCATCTGCAGGGCTAGTGACGACAGAACGGGCTGGAGCGGCATCAATATCATCAACATCTTGATTCGGCAAAGCGCGTTTCTCGTGCAGATTTACACAAGGATGCTTCCTTTGCAAATGTTTTTTTTAAATTTCCTGTTGAACCACCTTTGATGGATAAAAGGTCTTTACAAATGTCACACATAACTTTTTCGTCTTCATTAGTATAGGAAAAGTGCTGCCAAACCAAGCTGAATTTCCTTTTCTTACTAGACATTTTGTAATTCGATTTTTTTTTTTTTTTTTTTTTCTGAGGCGTAAGAAACTGATAGAGACTAAGCAATTCTATAACGTACCGATACTCACCAGTACGAGACAAGAATGAATCTTATGGGAAAAGTGACGAAGTTGGGAGATGGTCATCAGCATCGTCAGATAAGCATAAAAAAAATTCTATTAACGACTTCCGCTGTTCACTCCAGCTGCAAATTCTAAAATCAGCACTACGCTGTGAAAAGGGTAAGTGCAATATCGCCTAATGATTCTATTAATCAGGCATGAAAGAGCAAAAAATGCAAAGGAAAAAAAGGGAGGGACATGTATGTTTACATAAACATGTCCGGATAATTTCCGGTGTTCCATTCGATAGTTTTCCCCCCCCCCCTCAAATAAGCTCCAGAGGGAGTAAAAAAAAAAAAAAAAAAAAAAGAAGATTCGGACTGCCAGGTCAAAGTTCACCTCTCTTCCTATCGGAGGAGCGTCGTCACGTCCTGGGGGGTAAAGCAGGCGTTGACAATCCTGCGTTAGGCACGTGACCTGGGTTTAGTAGTTTTTGGCGAGATGAAAATCTGTTTTTAGAAGGGGGAAGAATTATCATAAGTGGGTCAGTTATCTTTGTTCTTTCATTAGAAAAGTTTAAAATTGCGTCTGTATTTTTATGTTGATTGGCTTAGTGATCCACTAGATGCTGTGACATTTTCTGAAGTAGGTACAGCGGGATAAAAAAGGATCATATTTATTTAAAAAGGATCATATGATTTACGTTGCCCTATTAAGCAAGCAAACGAAAAATATTTTTCATGATTTATGCTAAAAATATATTGAGGAAAAGGAAGTAATCTAGTTGGTAGTTGATTCCATTCACCAATCCAACAACAGCAACTTACCAAATCAATCATTTCAGATCCACGCAGTTTTCTCCTACAAACGATGAAAAATTAAAACATGCATGCACAATTCGGATTGCAAATCATCTAGCGCTCCCCTCCCTTTCCCTCCTGACTATACCGACTCCAATCACAAGCGAGCAATGCCGGCGACAGTGACTCCAACTGCTACTATTCCCCCCCCACACACACACACAACGAACGGCCTTTCGAAAAATTTCCACTATTTCACACTCGTCCTCCCGCGCACACAAAGGCAATTAATTATACTACCTCAAACTCTAGTCTCCGTGACGAACGGAAGTTCCCCCTTTCACGTTTGCCATTCCATGCCCTATTTCAAGGTCATTCATGGACACAAGGAGCGCATATCACCATTTCGCAAATACAACCAGATACTACTGTCCTCGTACCAAAACCGAAGTGAGCTGAACCCTCATCGATCCTCCAGTAACGAATACGGAAATACCAAGAAGAGACGCATATTTTCGTTACAAAGTAGCGAATACCGAAAAGCACCCGTTTCGGTACAGAAGTAACGAATACCGAAAAGCAAGGTTCTTAATAACTAAGGTTGGGGAAGAATCTGCATTGTTGTGTAGTGAGTACCGGGAGACAGACGACCACGCTTTGTACATGATTTTGGTTGGAAAATGTAAACTAAAGCAAATGATATTTTAATGTGGTAGAACCGTATACCGGTATATACTTTCTGATTAATTTTGTTAAAGAAAATGTTTATTTATGCACAGAATTCGTACGAATGCTGAAAAAATTGTTAAACATTAAATTCTTTTGTAAAGGAAAGCATTAGAAAAATGAAAAACGTAATTTAAGTTAATTAAGGGAAATAAATATGTGTAAAAAGTAATATTTTCAATATATTTCGTAGTATTGTTTGCACTAAATAAATCTTGTTGAACAGAATGCATGATGGCATAACTGCTAAGACATGGCAAAACCATAATCCAAAAAGTATTATTCTATTTATTTTCATTGCTAGGCACTTTTTTAATACAAATTGAATTTGACATTCCTGAGAATATTGATCGTGATTTTCAGTTTAAATTATAATCTCAAGCAAAAATATATAAGAGATTTGACTTAACAAATTCAATTTAAATACCATAAAATTCTACAAATTCTTAATATCCGTCATTATACTTTTAAATAGTATACTTATCACATTCTTTTTAATGAAATGCACTTCATACTGATTCACTTCAGATTTAGCAGAAGTGCGTATATTTTCAGTATAATCTAAAAGTACTCTTATAATCCCTTCACTCCCAAGATTTCTATATAACATTATCCTGACGTTGATTATTTGCGTAGCAAATAATCTTCGATATTGGCATCCTGTCTTCCTTCCTACATTAAAATGGAACAATTAAAACATTTCTTTTACATATACGCACAATAATAATAATAATAAACTTGCTCTACATCTTAGTTTCGGCCCACCAGCGGCCGAGCGGTAAAGTCGCTGAACACTGGTAGTTTCCGGCGAAACGGGCTGGCTGCATGGGTGTTTTCGTGGTTTTCCTCATGTGTAACGTGTATACGAGCCAGTTTCCTGAGAAAGTCCTCCACGAAGGCATCACAAAGCAGATAGCCCTAGTGTGCTTTGCCATAATTAAAACACCACACATCTTAATTTCAATTCAGCCTGTACAGAAATTAAATATGTTTAATACTAATGTATTTTTATCAGGTTGTTTCTTAAAACACTTTTGTTATACTCGAAATATGCGTTCATATTGAATTATTTTTCTTTCTCTTATAATTAAAAACAAATTATATGGAATCCAAATTAAAACATATGCAGCAGTTAAATAACACTGAAAGACCTTATCTTACTTAATCTTTCGCTATTTGTATTCCAGCACAATACACAGATTTGTTTTCTTTCAGGGTCAAGCATGGATAAGTTCATTTAGTTATATCAATTAAATTACATCTCACATACCTGTATGCATCAGTTAATATACACTGAAGGAAATATGTCACTCACTCATTTGATGTTTGCATCACAGTGTGGTCGAGAAATTGTTCTTTCCTCACGGTGAGGCATGTATGAGTTTACTTAGTTTGCAATGCTTAACCCAGATGCTGCTTCAATACATAGAATTACGTTTGGGATGTAAAGAAAGTAGCCAAAACATGTGAATAAAGTTGGATAAGCGAATTTATCAACTATTCATTCAGGTACTCAGTATTGGTAAACATGACACTGAGTTAAATATCTCACTACGATGTAAGTCTCATAACAAAATGAAGATTATATAAAAAATGATTTAAAATGAGAAATTTTTCAATTTAAATGTAAAATAGAGTAAAATGAAAAATAAATGTAAATTACATCACAGTTATGTATGAAACTACATAACTTCATTAAAAAAATAGTTATTTTATCTGGTTGTAAAGAGCGTTTTCCGATAAAAAACGTATTAACGTGTATAATTCTGACACAACGCTATAGCACAATTTGCCACTTCCGCCTAGGTATAATAGCAAATTAACAACACAAATCAAATCAAACTGTTAAACGTTGTTAATGCAACGAAAGTAAACAAACGCCAAGAACTATCGCTGTCACCCACATGACGTCATGCGTATGTGGCTTAACTTTCTCCCTGCACTGCGCATCGCTCTTGGGCCCCCCTGACCGAAAAGTACCCGTTTTGGTACAGAAGTAACGAATACCGAAAAGTACCCGTTTCAGTACAGAAGTAACGAATACCGAAAAGTGCCCGTTTCGGTACAGAAGTAACGAATACCGAAAAGTACCGGTACTTGGATGTACCGATTTTCAGTACTGTTACAACTAAGTACCCGTTACAAAATACCCGGTTTGGTAGTACTAACTCATCACTAATTATAAGGTGGTTATAAAAATGATAGATTTAATAATGACGAAAACATGAGCATAAAAATGTTAGATTCCTACATGTGCCTAAAAGAAAAGACATACCTTACGAGCTTAAAAGTTTTTATTTTCGGATAATATAAAAAGTTCATCAAATTCATCATCCGTTACAAAGTCATGCACATCATCAAATTCTAAAATTCTAAAGGTTGAACTAATGGCGTTAATGCACCCGGAAGAATTGCCATGTCTGTACTACAGTCTTTCAACAATTTCTTTATATTATTTCTCAGCATGTCCCAAGCTAAATGATTTTCTGGGTTCGTTAAGGCAACAGGATGCTTTTGCCAAAAAATTCTTATGTACAATTTCACACCATTTTCATCTGACCATCCTCTCTCATCAACATGAATGAAAACACCATCTGGAAAATTACATTTCGGCACTGTCTTTCTTTTAAAAATAACCATGGGTTTTAATTTTATGTCATCCACTAAGCAGGAAAGCACTACGTTGAAATGAGACTTTTTGTAACCTCATTTTACTTCCTTATCCGAAGTAAAAAGGAAGTATTGTAATCGTGGAAAGTTTCAGGCATCATATTTTAATGAAAACATCCATTTTGACCGCTATCGAATGCAATTTAACGATGTTTTTGTGTGACATCTGTACATAAAGACAGAATAAAAGACTCTTCCCCCCCCAATAAAATATAAAACTGATTTAAAACGGAATTCTGAAGAGAATTTTTCGTGGCATCTGTACGTATGTATGTATGTACGTACCTACATACATATCTCGCTTAACTCAAAAACAAGTAGCCTCAGAATGTTGAAATTTAGTATATAGGACTGATATAATATGTAGATAGGCACCTCATAGTTTGTTTGCAATCGATCGCAAGTTTCTATACTCTTATATGTTTGTAAACTGTGCATTTTTTGCTTTCAAATTGATTGAATTATGATGCTTTTATCTTCCTGTTAAGGAAATTTGCAAGCAATATTTGTAGAATTATCAACAATTTAAGAGCTGTTTAAGTGTGGTTAAGCCTAATTTTTAAACAATATGGTGGACATATTTGTTTACATTTGAAACAGTACAATAGTAGATTTGTTGCCAATCTAGAGAGACTAAGTTTCGCAACAACAAAGATAATGCCTTCTTTTACTAATGCAGATTAAATCATGCTTAATGAATTCTGGAATTTATTCGAGGTAATAAGTGTTTAAGATTTACTTCGGAATTTTTAATACAGATATTTTGAGTTCTTATGTATTTTTGCTTTGTCGTGAAGTGAGAACTGAATTAATTGAATGAGAAATACTGAATAATATGTGAAAAACTGTTCCTTTTTTGTTATTTGTTATACGAACACTGCATTCATAATTAGTTTCCATATTCAGAATTTCTTCAATCGCATTCATTTAGAAAATGTCTGATCACAAAAAATCTCGGTGGTTTTTTTGAACTGAAAAAAAAATTTTGTTGAACTTGAAATTACAGTTCACATTAGGTATTACCCAGTACAGATTATTTTCTATGATGTTTTTTGCAGAATTATTCTGCTTGTTTCCAATTTCTTTTACTCACTTGTTATACAACAAGAAAATCTAAAGATGAAATTAAAAATGCTTCCATTGCTACAATTCATCTCATGATAGAATATGTCTTTTCTAAAATATGCTTACAATTATTACAAAAGTATAAATTTTGTAATTACATTACAAAAGTTACAAACATTACATTACAAACATTATATTACAAAAAGTATAATTCTGTGTTATATTACAAAAGTATACAATTACAAAAGTATAAATTTTAAAAGAATAAATTAATTCATAATTCCTATAAAAACAGCCTTTTACTCAAGCACACACACATACATAAATTGCATCAATTAAAAAAAAAATGTGTTTCTTGTTGATTGATGTTTTCAAACACCTCACTAAAATAAGAGAAAATTTGACATTACCAAATAAGAAGTGATTTAATTTTTTTCTTATAATTATAGCATTTACCAAATGTTTCTAAAAAACAAAAAATAAATAAACACATAACTAAAGCCTAGTATAAGCAAATAAAAACTTGTTATTTATTGAAGAAAATCGCTAAAAACACTGTTCCCAGTAATTTTATATAAATGCACTTTTTCCAAAACAGATATTACATTATTTTTGAAAAATTCCTTCAACTAAGTCTGGGGCTGAATCTGGCTGGCAACTATGGATCACATAGAATTAAATAATAATATAAAACACACACACAGAAAGAATATGGCAAATTAAGTTTAATAGTATACATGACATTACAAAATGAATTATTATACCTGCACGCAACATCGATATACTGCTATCTGCTTCTGGAGGGAGGACATCAACTAAAGCATTGCTGTGTTTGTGGAGAGCAACACTTGAACTGGGCTTTAATAACTCCCTGTCAATTGTGGAGAGGATACGAACATAATAATTAGAACCTAAATGAGAAAAAAATAAGATTTAAGCATTAAAATACAACAATCTGGCTAATAAAAGTTAAAAAAAAAAAAAAAAACTACTTTAAAGACAAAAACAATAATTTGAGCATTTAATAATTATCTGGCAATATTGAAACTTCACTCATGGGGAAAATATATGCTTTCAGTGGTAACACAAATGCATACATATCTAAATTACAATTCACCTATTGTGAATGAAATGCATGCCTGTATTATACATTTGAATAGTGAAACATGATATGCAAGTATTTTGGGTTCAAATTTTTTTTAAAAAGTCCATCCTAACAATGTTCTCTTATAATGGTAAATCTAGAGTAGTTTCTTGCTGAATCAAATACTTTCACTGCCATCACTTTCGAATTCTGAAGTGCTGCATACACAACTATCAACCCTCATCTTTTTTCTATATGGATCAACCACCTAAGTTTTACATGCTTTTACAAAGATTTAGTGCCCTGTAACTTATATGTCACATTCACTATACGTTCATCTGATACTTTGCCATTGAATTATCTCAGTCTGATAAATGCCCTCCTAGTGCATGCTTGCCAACCTATGACACTAAAAAATCAGGAGATTTTTTTAAGAAATCGATATTATTGCTTCCATCCATAGAGAGGCAGAACAGAGCTGTTTTAATGCAATCAATAACTGAAGATTTATTTTTCAAACCCATTTCTTTAACAATTGCACTTGTTTTGATTCGGCTAATCTTTGGAATATGGTAACAGGTAGCTTGGCAACATTTTGGTAAGGCGATAAAGGTTACTAGTTAGGACTTTAGCAGTGTACATGGATAAAGTTAAGAGTGTGCGCAATGCCATTTTTGTGCAATTCTGGGATGTTTTTTTAAACGAAAATAGGTCGACATGTACATGGATGATACCGTGTATGTGCAGTTCTTAAAAATGCAGCAAGCAGTGGACAATTCTGCACTTTCTCCCAATTTCACACCTAATCTTCGTCATGATTAAGCACTTTTGTTCCATAAAAGTTCTAGCATAAGCGTAATACAGCTAGCAGATTGTTGGAAAAAAATGTTCAGCAAAAAAAAAAAAAAAATACCTTTACTTTGTGAAAACAAAATGGCGTCCAAAAAAAAATAGCACGTACTTGCCAACCTATGAAACTCAAAAACAAGGAGTTTTTTTTACGAAATCGAGAGATTTTTCACAAAGTTAAAGACTTTTTAAATGATGAAAATATAGTTTTTAATAAAGAATTAACTTTAAATAGTAACTAATTCTTAAATGCAAGCAACACAAAAATACCTTATACATAAAAAACAATTTTATTACTTGCATCGTTTAAGAAAACAAACAAACAAACAAAACAAAAAAAAAAGACACTTTAATCAATTTTCGTACACAAATGTTACGAACAGTGGCAGATTTTTGCTTTCTTTAAGAAAGGAAACTTCATAATTGTTGTTCATAGCAATTGCCACATAGGCCTGCTTTCGCTAATAAAAGATTTTCTAATGTGTCATCCCTAATTTTAGATCTAAATTTAGTCCTCGTTTTGCAACAACAACTGAAAATCCTCTCACACTCTGCATTACTATGGGAAACTGTCAAGATGGCCAACATAATTCTAAACAGTTCACTATATTTTAAAATTCCATCAGCATCTTTCAGTTTTCCAATTAAACTCCACAGGGTGTCAATCCCAGCTGATTTTATAACTTCATCCAAGTTTTCTAATTGTAAACTGCTGTTATGCAGCTGTTGGAAATGTTTCAATTTTTCCTTCCTTTTAGAACTCCTTTCAAGATAATAGTAAATATCAACAATGTGTTCATCCACATTTATTGGTAAAGAAGCTGCCCTTTCTCAGCTGCTAAATTTAAGAGGTGACAGGTGCACCTCATGATCTGCAAATCTGAATTTTCCTTTTTCAAGATGCCTGCAATACCAGTCTTCAAGCCTACCAATACTAGTGCATTATCGGCACCAAGTGCTAAGCAATTATCCAGAGGGACTGCATTTTCTTTTAAAGTTTTAATAATTAGCTGTGCTATAGTAAAGCCTGTCAAATGTCCTTCTAAAAGTGGGGACAGAAAGTAAACTGCACTCATTTTCTGAAGACTCTGGATTAAAAAAAGAAACAATTGGATACAGTTTTGAATCAGTATTATTGCTTCCATCCATAGAGAGACAGAACGGAGCTGTTTTAATGCAATCAATAACTGAAGATTTATTTTTCAAATCCATTTCTTTAACAATTGCATCTGTTTTGGTTCTTGCACTTGAGTATTTCTTAGCGATTTCACTATCGGGAAACATTTTTCTAAATAAAGCTGCAGCGTGATCCGATGCGTTCAGTGGCAGGTTGTGCTCCAGTAAAAAGGAAGAGAACAGACATTCTGCATTAATAACATTTTGGTCCTTTGTTTCCGAAGAAAAATTTAATTTTTCATTTTTTTCAAAACAACTCATATTGTCCTTGTGTTTTTGTGTACACACATGTTTGAGAACATCCGTCCTTCCACCATGCGAAATCGAAAAATCGCAATGACAGGCATCGCAAATTTATTACATTTTCTTGAGGAAATAATGGAAGGAAAGTCAACTGTGTACGATTTTTGATACGTACACGAGTATTTCACCTTTCTCGCAGACATAACAAAAGATGATAATTTCTAAAACTATTTTCCGGAGGCGCGTGTACTCACACAACTCAGGACAAAATGAACGAAATAACTAAAGAACATCCAAATAACAACTTGCTTTGTCCTCATTGGCTAATATATGCCAGCTGACAGGCACGCAGTGGAGACACGCAGTGGAGCTCGAAGCCCATTGGAGAACTGGAGAACGACGTTTCTGGATACGTATAATGCTCACACTCACAAACCAGAAGCTATCTGATTTGCAAGGTTTTGTTTTAGATATAATGTAGAGAAAATTCAATTCTTTCAGATGTCCAAAAACACTTTTTTTTTTTTATTCGTATAACAAAGTATTAAGCCAAGTTGCATAAAAATCATAAGAAATTTTAAGAATAAGAAAAAGTTGGGAGAAATATATTGTAAATCGGGTTGGCGGAAGAGCGGTGGAAAATCGGGAGTCTCCCGCCTAAATCGGTAGAGTTGGCAACTCTGCTAGTGTTTAATGAATTAATTCCAAAACATCCGGTATAAAAGAGTGCACAGGAAATTTTTTTAATTAATGAACATTATGACATATTATACATTTAGAGGTTATCTATTCAAAATCAATCCAAAGATTTACTTCCAAGTAATAATTAGCTGAATATGTTATCTAATAATAAAAATTCCTAAAACTCGCATTCATTTGTATTGTTAGCAATGGTTTCTAAAATTCTAATTTAACAGAACCTGACAATAATTAAAACAGTACAAAAGATTTTAAAATTGCTTTAAATTTCTTTATTTTTGTGCTAAACCTTCTCAGAGAAACTGGCTAGCCTGTCACACAAAAGAAAAAACATAAAAAAAAAAACATGCAGCCAGCTTGCTTAGCAGCTAGAATTAAAACCAGATGCATTCCATAATTTTAAATATTTGATCACACAAAATAAGGTAAAAGAAATATATATCACTTTCTTTTAACAGTTTTCTTTCTTTTTTTTTTTTTTTTTTTTTTTTCTCTCCTGTGATTGCATTCCTCACATATAAGCACATAATTTTCAAGCTGAGTACTGTTACTCAGCAAGCCAATAAAAAATCCGAGTTATCTTCAACTAATAAAATTTATTATCCACATTCTTCAAAAATAGCAGATCTGAATGTACTATTGGTGCTAAAAACAAATTATGTGTTAACATCAGCAAAACTAAAACACCTTTGAAATTCCATGCCTAAAAAGGATAAATAAAAATTATTTACTCTTCCCTGTATGTTTCTCAACTTTTACTTCCCTTTTTATTATAATTATTTTATTTATCATTTATTTATTTTATTATTTCTTCAAATTTTTTCTGTAATAATTATTCATAAAGGTTAGTGCATAGCATTTCTTATTTAAGTCATCTACATTCATTAAACACTAGTTAATCACTTCTTTATATTCCATATCTTCTCATGTCTCCCTCTTCTGTTACTACTTAGAGAAGGGTGGTGTTATTGGAATATGGCAAAACACGCAAGAGCTATCTGCCTAGAAGACACATGCTTTAAGGAGATTTTTCTGTTGTAAATTGGCTTAGATTCACATCACACATGAGGAAAAATGATGAAAACAAAACATGCAGCCAGCCAGTTTGTCTAGGATCAAACTTAACCGAAGTCCTGGTATTTAGCGGTCTTAACCACTGCGCCATTGGCGGGGCTATTACTGCTCATTAGCTACCAAGTATATTAATTACTTAAAGTAAATAGTCAATCAACTCAATTAAAATGAATGCAAAATTACGATTTTCTGAAGTTTCACAATTTCAAAAATACTATAATTTTGATAAAATATAACGTAAGAAAATTCGGTACTATTTGGTTTCGAGGACCGTAAAAAAATTGCAGCGAAAATATACGTGCAAAAGCGCCAAATCTAGGAAACGCGTCCATTTCACAGCGCGCCAAATCTAGAGTATGCGCTGATTTCAGATTGCGTAAGTTTATATAGTTCTATATTTATTTCTTAAGACGCCATTTACTAGTTTAATTTCTAAATCCTTATTTGATATCCTATAGATTTAACAATTGCCCATGACGAAAAGTCTGCAATAGAATTTTGGGTAAAGTGCAGAATCATCCACTGCTTGACGCATTTTTAAGAACTGCAGATACTCAGTATCCATGTGCATACCTACCTATTTTCACTTTAAAAAAAAATCCTAGAATTGCACAAAAATGGCAATGCGCACACCTTTGACATTATCTATGTACACATCGACCTATTTTCACTTAAAAAGTAAAAGAAAATTGACAAAAATCCAATTGTTTTTTACCCTTGTAAAAAGCGGCAAACGAGTGAGCGATTCTGCACTTTACCGAGAATATTTTTAAAGAAAAGGCATCATTCATTATAGAAAATTACATTTGAACAACCAACAAGATGAAATTATGCTTTAGTGATAAGTCGGTAGCGAGATAGCGATGCAGGCATCCATTCAGTTATTTTTAGAAATTTTTATATAAATTATAATAATGATCTGAAATAGTTATTTACTCTTATGCTTCCATTCAGTCATGTTTAGCCTTTTTCATATAAATTAAAATAATAAAAAAGTATTATATGAAATTAACCCTTCATTTAAATTAAAACATCAAACTTAGATAGTAATTTACTATTATACTTTCTTTCTTGCCACAATTATTTTTGCCAGCATTGGCATCAACAATAGTTTGGCGATTTTTTACGGCCCTTGAAACCGAATAGTACCGAAAATTCTTAAATGCATATAATAAGCTGAGTGCAAAATTAAACGAACCTGTTGTGGATCCTACAATACCAGTATTGGGATCAACAGCTTCAAGAAACTGCCCAATAACTAAAGGTACACTTTGAATACGCTTCACCTCTTCCTGAGCATGGAGATACTCTTTTTTCAGATTTTTCTGTTCATCTTTGATATATTCCTCTTGAACTTCAAGAAATTCTAACTGCCTTTGCAACTTCTAAAAATACATATAAAAAAATTAGAATTTCAATACATTACTTATAAGTTTTTTCAGGAATCAAATTAAGGAAAATAGCTTTAAATCACAATTTTTTAATATCAACCAAGTATTTCTTAGTTAACAGGGTGCCACTTGGCTTGAAATGTAATTATTAAACTGCAGATAAGAACAGTAATCCTATTGTAATTGCAAAAATTTCTTCTAAATTGTTTAATACAAACTAAGAAACTAAAGGCAAATTGACCAACTATTACACCTACTTGTGATGGGAAATTAATTAATGCACAGGCAAACAATTAACTGTTGTTTAGACTGAAATTGTATCAGAAAGATATCATATGCCACATGGAAATGTTAATCTCATGTCAACATTCAGACAAACTTTAGTTCTTAACTCCATCAAAGTATTCTGAAAATAGTAAATTTAAGTCACTTATTTCAATACCATGTGCAATGGTTGATAGGTTATGCAATATGCAGTACAAAGTCCGAAATCAGGACTCGTCAGGACTTCAGTGATTCCGGATTTGGGATTTTTCCGGATATTAGATCATCAGTTTAAATCTAGTAAGATGGCATGTAGAAATTATAAAATTAAAAATATGAAATCGTGATTTATGAAATAATGAAATATTTATGAAAAATTTGCAAAAAAGGCTTAATACACTCACATGTCCATAAATTAAGGATAATTCGGAGTCACGCGGAAATCGAACTCTAAAATAAATATATCACCGTAAAATCACTACACACATCTTCAAGAATCATATGCAAATTTCAGGAAGTAACCAGATGACACCGATGGTACGTCACAATGACGAGAGTGATATATAAGGAATACAGGCAAAAAAGCAAAATTGTTCGCAGGCACTTTATAAGCATTTCAGTGCAATAACCGAATAGTTATGACACAAAAGACGCATTTGGATGATTTTTTTACGTGATAGAATTTATCAGCCGTCTGGAATGTGGGCGCACCCAACTGGAAGTATCAGACGAACTTGGAATTGCCCAGAGTGTCATCTCCAGGTTTTGGCAACGATTCCAAAATGATGGTAATGTGAGTAGACGTTACAGCACAGTTCGCCCTAGAGTTACAACGTCGAATGAGGACCGGTATTTGGCAGTTACTGCCAAAAGAAACAGGCGAAGCACAGCCTCAGAGTGGTGTCTCGTCAGCCCTCTTCAGCCACTAGTACGACAATTTCAAGGCAGACCGTGTACAGACGCTTAGGGCAGATTGGTCTATATGCTCATAAACCTGTCAGATGCGTTCCTCTTATTGCAACTCACTGTCACCTGGGGTTAGTCTGGAGTAGAGAGCATGCATTGTGGACACTGCAACAGTGGGCTTGTGTGATGTTTTCTGACGAGTCTAGGTTTAGCTTGCAGTCTGATCCTCGCCGGATTTTCATATGGAGAGCTTCAGGTACCCGTTACCACCAAGAAAACATCACTGAACGACACTGTTACGGTGGTGCAGGAGTACTCGTTTGGGGTGGAATTATTCTGGGTTCCAGAACTGACCTGCATGTTAAAACTGGAACCACAACAAGCCAAATCTATCGGAATGTCATTCTTGACCAACACGTATGTTTGTTTCGGGGCACCATGGGCGCACAAATTCTGTTTATGGATGACAACACCCGTCCTCACCGTGCAAACATCGTAAGCGAATGCCTTCAATCTGAGGATATCACCCATATGGACTGGGCAGCATTCTCACCGGACTTGAATCCAGTAGAAAACGTGTGGGATATGTTTGGCCGACGAGTTGCAGCCCGTCAACCTCCTCCTACATGTCTACTAGAAATTCGGAGAGCATTGCTTTTTCAGTGGTGTAATATCCCCCAAGATCAAATAGATAATTTGATACTCAGCTTGCGTTGGCATTGTACGGACTGTATTGCATCGTCTGGGAGACATACAATGTATTAACAATCATACCAACCATGCAATATTGGTTTTTTGTAAATAGGTTTTTTTTTTTGTAATTTGCTCCAGGAAGAAAAAAACGCTATTTTTATTAATAATATCAAACATATAGCATCTTTTTTGGCTCTTTACCTTTTGTTTAATAAATAAGCTTTACAAATAAGTCAAATTTGTTTTGCTTCCTTTGCCTGATTTTGCATTATCCTTAATTTATGGACATGAGTATATTTGTTTACTTTATTAAACATTTCTTTCAATGTAAGTTGTTTAAGTTGCTTCGTTTTTTTGTGCTAATACTTTCTCTTTAATTCTGTACACAGACATAATCTCTTGTTTAGTTACATTGAAGTACTGAAACTGCTGTTTTGAGAATTCCGATTAACTTGTCAATCGAAATTTTTTCGTTTTCAGTAACTTTTCTGTCGCTTTCTTCACTTACGGTAGCAGTATTTATCTACAACCATACTACAGATTTCGCCATTCATTAATTGACTGATGATTGAGAAGCATTGTCATCACTATGAAAATTTCTTTTATATCAATCTTCATTTATTACCGTGTCTCCACATTTCTTTACAAAATCCGTTAATTGGAAAATTTCACCTTTGTTTTACGATATCAGAAAACGTTTAAAATTAGCGGCTATCAGCATCAAATTTAGCTATTTTTCACTACACATATTTGGCTATGCATAATAAGCTTGGCGACTAATGACAAGTTCTTTCGTTAAATTTTATCTTGCTTCTATCGCGCACTGAGACAATTAAGCCTGAATTGTATTAGTTATTTATTATACTTATGCCTATTTTTAGCACATGTTTAAAGCTTATCCGAGTTCTGAATACATAAATTCCCACATATACTTAAGCCTTATTGAGGGCCGGCACTTGATATCTTACCCCATGATACAATCTTTGTGGGTCCTAAATTCTGCGACTCGGTGTGGCCATACGAGTCCTGGCACTGGTCTGGTTCTGGGTTTATGTGAATAACTAATCAGTTATTCTTAATTCAAATAGCCCTAAATGTAATTTTTGTGTCTATGAGCATCATAAAAAAAATCTATTTTTAGCATATGGAAAGAAATTTTTGATAAATGTTTCCTCATAAACAATTTTTAGAGCATTTAACTTAAATCTGTAATCATCACCAAGAGTAATGTCAATATAAAAGGTTACCATAATCCTTTATTATTCAATTACTAACATAAAAAAATTGTTTAGGCATTGCTACATTAGTCATTACTCAAGTTGTCAAGTTTTGATAAACATGCAGTGATGAAAGGAAAGTACAATAAATAATGATTCGCCAGGTTGGCGTCAGATCAACGATGTATCTTTTTGGAATGTTTCGGTTTGAGATATGTATGTGCTAAGCAGATAGGCAGCAACGGATCCAAATTACTGGATCCGTTGCTGCCTATCTGCTTAGCACACATCTCATTATTCCGTTTTGAGGACCGTAAAAAAATTGCAGCGAAAATGTATGCGCAAAAGTGCCAAATCTAGCAAATGTGCCCATTTAACAGCGCGCCGATTTCCGATTGCATAAGATTATATAGTTCTATAGTTCTTAAGACGACATTGAAATACTAGTTTAATTTTTAAATCCTTTTTTGATATCCTATGGATTTAACAATTTGGGAATTGCCCATGACGAAAAGACTGCAATAGAATTTTGGGTAAAGTGCAGAATCACCCACTACTTGATGCGTTTTTAAGAATTGCACATACTCAGTATCCATGTACACATCGACATATTTTCACTTTAAAAAAAAATCCCAGAATTGCACAAAATGCCATTGCACACACCCTTGACTTTATCTACGTACACATCGACTTATTTTCACTTAAAAAAGTAAAAGAAAATTGACAAAAATCCCATTGTTTTTACCCTTGCAAAAAGCACCAAACAAATAAGTGGGTCAATTCTGCACTTTACCGAGAACTTTTTCAAAGAAAAGGCAACATTCATTATAGAAAACTATGTTTGAACAACCAACGAGATGCAATTATGCTTTAGCAATAACTCGGTAGCAAAATAGCGATGGAGGAATCCATGCAGTTATGTTTAGATTTTTTTATTATAAATTATAATAATGTTCTGAAATACTTATTTACTCTTAGGCTTCCATTCAGTTATGTTTAGCCTCTTTTATATAAATTATCATAAAAAAAGTATTATATGAAATTAACTTTTCATCTAAATCAAAACATTAATCTTAGATAGTTATTTACTATTATACTTCCTCTCTTACGTTAGGATTGCCGTAATTATTTTTGGCAGCACTGGCATCGACAATAGTTTATTTATGGCCCTCAAACCGAATAGTACCGACTTAAGATATAAACAAAAAAACTCAATATATAAGTTCAGCATCTAAGAAAATCATTTGGTACAACCTTAAAATCAGAGAAGTGCTAGAAACTGCCACTAGATCATGTTGATCATGTATTTACCATACATCTCAATGTCAATCATGGGAAATATGGTAACCTTATATGAAGTACTCCTACAGGAAACAATAAAAGAAAGGGAACTTGATGAAGATATTGATTCCAAATCCAGTTGTGAAAGCAAACGGCTTTAGTGTACCAACCTAGAACATTTTGTTTTAATTTCATTTTAATCACATGTGCCTTTAAATTCAACTAACAAATATTTTTTGAACTGCAAAACTCAAAAAGAATAAATAAAACTTGTTTTGTAATACCAGTGAGAAGAAAAGCCTTTAGTGAGATTTAAAAAAAAAAAAAAAAATTAACATACATAAGAAAACTATAAAACTAAAAGAAATAATAATTTCATATAAACTTCATGTTTTTTAAATAAAAAAAAAAACATATGAATGAAAGAAACTTCAGGATATCAAAAGAAAAATTACACAGGTGGAATCCTACATTAATTCTGAATAAATAAGCAATCACATCAAAGAGTATACTTTTCATACACATATAAAGTCAAATTTAAAAGATATTATAAGCATCAATCTGCATTACATTAATAATTAGACTTTTGAAAATATTTTTAATTTTCCACATGAAAATTTTATGTGCACTTTTTTCCCCTCTATCTCTTTCTCTCTCTTAAAAAGAGATTAAAAAATGCTTTACTTGATGACAACATTTTGTGGTTGGTAGCTTCTTGTTAGTGTTAAGTGACAACCTCTACATATCTAAATACAAAATATAAGTAGAATTAAATTATAAGTAGGCAATAAAAATATTGTTAACTGATTTTATTGTCGTTTTATTGCATGTAATACAATTATTCAGCCCTTATGTATAATTTTGTCCATTATGAAAATTAGCTACCATACAACTATAAAATCTGGAGGAAAACCTGCCAAAGCTGCAACAATCATTCCCATGGGAACTTATGGCCTCTTTATTTAATAAACAATCAGCATTTAACCACTTTCAATTATGAGTCTCATGGAAAGGTTTTTGTTGATTTCTACTACTTTGCTAGGCTCTCCGATTTTACAGGAAAGTGTGTTTAAAATGCTATGATTACAAACTTCCCGTAATAAAATATTCTGGCTAATCTTTGGAATATGGTAACAGGTAGTTTGGCGACATTTTGGTAGGCGATAAAGGACTTTGGGACTTTCCTAGGACTTTTGGGAATTATGTGAGAAGTACTCAGTTCCAATTACTCATTATTTTGTGTGAGGGAAATGAGAGATCATGAGATATGTCATGTGACATTTATGGACGAATCACAGTTTTTTAATCGAAAAAGGGGGGTAAATTTGTAAAAATATCTGCCGTACTTTATAGCATTAGCTTCATTCTATGTTCTGTGAAACAGTGTTGCTTAATACTTGGATCCCATGGCCCTATGTAAAGTAAATCCGAAATTTTTATTGCGTTTATGTGTAATCCAAAAGAATTGCTTGAATGGTGTATGAGTGTAGGATAAGTGATAAGCAACGGAGGACGTGGGCACTGTCCCTTTACCAAAAGGTTAATCGGTATAGCACCACGTCCACCTATATCTAGAGCCTAAAGAGGAATCACAAGACGCCACGCGCCGGGCGCCCAAACCCAGAGCCAAATTCAACCCGGGGGCCAGTCCAACAGACCAAATGCCCACGAAGACAGTCTCAACAACCACCCAGGCCCCACATTTATTAAATAAAATAACAAAAGCATGCAGGGCCAAAAAGGGCGAGTTTGGACAATAAGCAAAAATTTTACAAAGGTGTAATACACACAAATATAGAATATACATAAGCTAAAGTACAGTCTGATGTTGGGCAGCCCAATGATATACAATGAATAAAATATAGACAGTAGAATTAGACTTAATGACAATATAACATAAAATAATGAATGTAAATGATTACAGCAATACACAGAGGATATACCAAAAAAATAAAAAATAAAAGAATACAATGTAACAGAATGCAATAGCGGTACGGTACAATACACTTGATCACGTGGTATTGTGGGAAAAAACATGCAATAAGGCTAATTATACGATTATGAGGAATAAAAATAACATATTTAGCCTGCATAAAAGTTAACGAATATAAGATACTATACAATATTACAACAATACAATACAAAACAAAAAAAAAAAAAAAAACATATTTAACCTGTACTAAAAGCCAACTGATATAAGATACTATACAATACTATACAATACCACAATACAATACGATACAGTAGATACAATACCACAATATAATACGATACAGTAGATGCTATACAATACTATACAATGAAAATACAAAATACATTCAGTGTTGGTGACACAAAAATACATTTAAAATTGTCATGACACTAGTGATGAAAATACAAAATACATTCAGTGTTGGTGACACAAAAATACATTTAAAATTGTCATGATACCAGTGATCCTAATGCAGCAAATAAATTGATGCAGTTACCTGCATAAAAGATAACTTATATAAGATACCATACAATACTATACAATACTACAATACAATACAAAAGCTAATTAAACGATTATAATGAATAAAAATTAACATATTTAACCTGTATAAAGCCAACTGATATAAGATACTATACAATACAAAACAATACCATAATACGATACGATACAGTAGATACTATACAATACTATACAATAGAAATATAAAATACATTCAGTGTTGGTAACACAAATATACATTTAAAATTGTCATGACACTGTGATCCTTATGCAGCAAATAAATTGATGCAGACAGTTAAATGTGTTACTATACATTTGCAAAGGATGAAATATAGACTTAAGTATGCCACAAATTATGAACATATATTATACCGTGAAAAACACAAAATACATTCAATGTTGGTATAAATACAATGGATATATTTAAAACAATGGATAATGGTTGGATATATTATACAATGAAAATCTCTAGCGACCCCAATACATTCAGTGTTATTATTACACAGAGAATTAAATGTATGATATTACATGGGCAATTGATGAAAAGAAGACAGTAACAGTATAATGTATAGCCAAATATGCAAGTATATGGTATACCGATGTTTAACAGCAACTGGCAAACAATGTACCATTAATACGCCCAACTAGATATGCCAAGATATTATATACTATTATACAGTGAAAAACGCAAAATACGTTCAATGTAGATATTATCATAGTGCATTATGAGGGAATACAGACAGTTATATGTTTGATAATACATGGGCAAAAGATAAAAATAAAGACAATAACATTATTATTCATAGGTAAATATGCAGATTTAATATATTCAGATATTTAACAGCACCTGGTAAAAAATGTACCATAAGTACATTGATTAATAGCGGATAAGTATGAATGTCCAACATGTGGGAATGAAATAAGATTGTGTGAAAGGAAGGATATTACAGATAAGTTTGAATGGCGGTGCAAGAAATCTGGTGAAAATGGACATTTAGTGAAACGGAGTGTAAGGAAGGGTACATGGTTTGCTGAAAGTTGTTTGAGTATGGGTGAAATTTTATTAATTTCTTATTAGTGGGTGAATAGACTGCCAGTTGACTACTGGATTATTGAATCTGTAAGAAAAGTTTATCCGCCATGCAATCAAGATTGTGAAGAAGATTAGGTAAGTTAATATTATTAATCATTTCAGGATATTATTTTTATGCATGTAAGGAATAAATGTAAGGAATATATAAATTAATATGGTATTATTGGTAAATTGTTATTAGCAATGAATTAGTTTAAAGTAATTAGGATTGTAAGCTAATTTTTATTAATTTAATGTATGTGTTTATTTATATTTTAAGTAGTGTTTTTTAATTTAATTATATTTTAATTTACTGATCGTGATTTTGTGAATTATATGTTTGTAGTATTTTGGAATACGTTTGAGTAGAAGTAAATGTGCATGGAAAGAATTTAAATATTTGACACTAAGTATTTGGAACCATTTTTAATGTTTGCGTTATAAATTTGCAGGTGACGTTTATAATAGATAATTTAGAGGGAAAAGTTTTTTGGATATTTTATTTATTTTATACGTGGCAAATGTTCATTCTTGGATTGGGTATATACTTTTTCGCGATCAGGTAATTTCATATATGTGCTTTTTACCGAGTTTAAAGATTCACAAAATTTTCCTGCATTTTCGTGCAAATTTTTCTAGTGAGAAAAAAGCAGTGTATATGGATAAAGTCAAGAGTGTATGCAATGCTATTTTTGTGCAATTCTGGGAAGTTTTTTTAAGTAAAAATAAGTCGACGTGTACATGGTTACTGTGTATGTGCGATTCTGAAAAACGCGGCAAGGAGTTTACGATTCTGCACTTTTTCCCAATTTTGCAGTTAATATTTGTCATGATTAAGCACTTTTGTTCCAATAAAATTTCTAGCATAAGTGTAATTTCGGCTAGCAGATTGTTGGAAAAAAATGTTCAGGAAATAAAAAGAAAAGAAACCATGTTTTTACTTCGTAAAGACAAAATGGCCGCAAAAAAAAAAAAAAAAAAAGAAAAGAAAAAAGAAGAAGTAGAAGGTTGGCTGTAGCAGGAGTTGCTCACCAAATTTTCGCCAAAAAATCGCCAAGTTACCTTAATCCAAAGATCAACCAATATTCTTATCTGTTACTATTTTATCAGCCACCTTCAGATGACCATATCATGTTCATTCATTCTCACATTTGTTTTTATAGTAGGATCCATAATTTTGAAAATAATTGACTGCTTTACTGTTCTGCAAAAAGTTGATCCTACTTTTTTTTTTTTTTAAATGAAAAAAAAAAAAAAAAAAAAAGAGCAAAGACATTTATTTTATACCTTTGTTAAAAAAACAAATGATGCCTTATTAAGAATCAATAAGGTTACATCAAACGAAAGTGCAAGTGTTAATGAGCCTACTGTCATTTCACATTTATCCATACTTGACATTAAATTACACTGCTTGGTGACATTTTCATGTTCAATGGGGATAATATGCAAGTACCAATCATTGCTATTATTTAAGCTACTTTTTTAACACATAAGTGAAGAAAGTGTACAGAAACATTGACAATTGTGAACAATCAAAACTCGGAATTCTTAACGAGTACAAAATAATAATACTAAAGTTATCTGCTTTAGTATTATTATTTTAGTTTTACTATAATCAAAAACATAAAAAAATAATTAGATCAATATACTTTTTTTAATAATATTTAAAAAGTTATAAACAAAAGAATAATTTAGATATAAGCATACCTTATATTTTGTATATAGATCATCAATATCAAAGTCATCAGGAGATGGAGCTGTAATATGACCTGTTGGACGCTGGTCTCCAACAACATCTTCCTGATAATTATAAATTTTACTTTTTACAATATTCAATTATTTAAAGATAATATAAAAAATTCATTATTTTAAACACAGAACTAGATAATAATTGTACTTTACAACACTGATAGAGTTTTATTAATCACAAAATATATTAAAAACAATGATCTAATCTTTTAAAAAAAAAAACTGGGCTTTGTTTTCCAAGCAGTATACTTTTTAAAACTTAGCAATACAAAGTAATAAATTACACAAAGTATAGTTAGTATTTTACAATAGCATATTTTAAAGTGTAAAATAATAAATTGATACAATATTTTAAAATAATGCTGGATATTATAAAATAAAATTCTGGCCAAATACTTGAAAGTTGTTATAAAAACACTGAAACCACACTAACAATATCAAATTAAGTATAGATTAAATTCACCTATTCAAAAATACACTAGCATGCTATATAAATACATGGTAAAATTATTTTGAAATTCTTCACTGCAATAAGGCCTAGTCATATATCTGCCCCAAGTAAAAAATTCTACGTATAATTAGATTAATCTGATATTTTAACACTTAAACTTCTAGGTGTAAACTTTTTAAAAATACTTTCCAAAATTAACTGAACAGCTATGTATCAATAGCATAACTTATGTACATTATAATCTTCAGTTCAGTTTTGATGTTTATATGCGATTTTCCAAAAATTTCGCCAAAATCAGTGAATCAATGAACATTAATCTAAAATAAAAATGATGGGTTAATCTATATTTTAGGGCACTCCATGGATTATCACCAAGTTGTTGTTTCACTTATGGTAACCTGAATACTGAATGTTATGGAAACCCTATTGCAGTGAATTTGACTGATGGGAAAATATTTGTAAGGCCTTATTTATGTGTTGCATGTTGGTTAGGAAGTGCATTGCTTATTTCGTGCTTTAAACCGTAAAATATCATTTATTTATGTGTTGGGTGTTGGTTAGGAAGTGCGTTGCTTATTTTGCGCTTTAAACCATAAAATGCTTGCTGATGGTACGATTAACCTGAAGTTTATGTACACTTTAGAATGATTGGGAAAGAAAACATTAACTGGCTGGTGTGTAAATGAAGATTTAAATGGCTTCATTCACTTCTTGGTAAATTATACAGCGAGATTTACAGATTTGGAAACCAGAGCTTATATCAACACTATGGAAAATAGCTTATATCAACACTATGGAAGGCATGTAGGGTGTAATAAAATGAAATTTTCAAAAGAAATGCCATCAACAGTCCGGCAATGCGGAGAATATTTTTCCTTTTTACTTTTGCGAATTTATGTGGTGACGGCAGTATACAGATTCTAGTTTATATAATTTTAAATAGTTTTTGGATGCTGTTAAGGAATTCTGTGTCTCGCATACCAAAGAAACAGAAATTTTTCAATTAAGGGAAGTCGATATTTCCTTTTCGTATCGCATAATTACGTAACATGTATTTCCATTCTTATGTTATTTCCTCGTTTGATTTAAAAAGCAGTTTATTGAGATTATATATTATTTTTTGTTGTAATTATGCATTATTGTATTATGTTTTGGATGCCATTTTACTAGGGTGGGCGTTGGACGTAAATAGGAATGGGGACAAAAAATCATCAATTTTCAGAAATATATTTTTACCAAATGATGTTCCACTACATTAGCTAATAACTCCTTTATTAATTTATTTACAGTATTTTGAACATATCGATTACAATAAAAAATCCCATGATTTACTGTGAAAGAGGAAAATGTATGTTACAGTCACAGATGAACTCTACTGCAAGAGCGGCATATGGTAATCGGTTTAACTATAAATAAGATTAAATGTTTGGTGCTACAGAAGAAACAACAGAAAAAATTTTTTACTTGGGAATGTCATAAGAGCAGAATTACTGAGTACTTTGTCAGAACATCAGTCAGGAAGAATAGCTGGTTTGAAGACAGTAAGTTAAGCCTAACTGAGATTTTAATGATGATGAATACATAGCTATGATAGGCCAGCATGCTTTCATTAATTTTGAATTTGATGTCTTGGAGGATTATAAATTTACAGTAGAAAGATTTCTGGAAAACAATAAATGTTTTACTTTTGTATATATATCTTAAACCTTACTTAATAACATTAAAATTTATATTTTACACTCCTGAAGTGCATTTTATACTGATATGTTGATAACGTTTGCCAATTTACAATAAATATCCACAGTTTTGCAATCTTTTTCAAAAAGATGCCAAAATTGTCAGTTAATGAGTACGTTTACTTCCTAGTGTTCTCAATCAAAAGTGGAAAAGAAAAGGGCAGTAGCTTAATTTCTAAAATTAGGAACACCAAAGTCCTATGGAAGGCCATCAGGAAAGGTAAAAACTAAATAAACAAAAAGAAAATATACTATCTGAAAGCTTTCAGATTTTATATTACAAAGGGGCATTTTTTTAACATTTTGTGTGTTGCCTTTATTTATTAAATACCATGTTCTTCGCACACGGTTAGAGTTGACTTTGCGATAATACAAGGGTACCCCTCTAGAAAATTTGGCTAATCTTTGGAATATGGTAACAGGTGCTTTGGCGACATTTTGGTAAGGCGATAAAAGTTACTAGCTAGGACTAGCTTACTAGCAGTGTACATGGATATAGTCAAGAGTGTGTGCAATACCATATTTGTGCAATTCTGGGATTTTTTTTAAGTGAAAATAGGTCGACATGTACATAGATGATACCGTGTATGTGCAATTCGTAAAAGCAGTGGGCGATTCTGCACTTTGTCCCAATTTCGCACCTAATCTTCGTCATGATTAAGCACTTTTGTTCCATAAAAGTTCTAGCATAAGCGTAATTCAGCTAGCAGATTGTTGGAAAAAAATGTTGGAAATGTTGAGTAAAAAAAAAAAAAATGCCTTTACTTCGTGAAAACAAAATGGCGTCCAAACAAACACTATTAGGTTGCTGTAGCAGGGTTGGTCGCCAAATTTTCGCCAAAAAATCTCCAAGTTACCATAATTCAAAGATTAACCCAAAATTCCTTAACAGCAAAGTTAAGGAATTTTGTAATTCGAAGTTGTTGTTTCGTTTATTGTCAAGTTGTTGTTTCATTTATGGTACTTTGGTGTGTGTTGCTTAGGAAGTACATTGCTCGTTTCATTGTTTAGACAGTAGAATAGCTGAATGTAGTAAGATTAATTTGAAGTTTCTGTACAATTTGGAACGAAAGAGGAAAAGTGCATTCATTGACTGGTGTGTTAATGAAGATTTATTTAGTAGCCATTTTCAGGACACTCCGGAATACATAGGATATTTTTTACTCTTATTTTTGTGAATTTATGTGGCAACGACGATATACGGATTCTAGTTGGGATAATTCTAGGAAGTTTGGGGATGCTGTTAAGGAATTTTGTAGAGGCAAGTGGATTTGCTTTGGGTAATGCTTAAATGCATAATGTTAATGCATAATCCTTTTTTTATGTTATTTTATTGTTTGGTTTAAAATGTAGTTTACTGAGATTATGTATTTTTTGTTTCCCTCTACTGTAGAATTGGGTGCTCCTTCAACTTTTTTAAGTGAAAATATATCAATGTGTACATGGGCAAACTCAAGGGAGTGCGCAAAGCCTACTTTGTGCAATTCTCCGATTTTTTTTTAAGTGAAAATTGGTCGATGTGTACATGGATTAAGTCAAGGGAGTGTACAATGCCATTTTTGTGCAATTCTGGGATGTTTTTAAGTGAAAATAGGTCGATGTGTACATGGATACTGAGTTTGTGCAATTCTTTGTCTTGTTATTTTGGCTTTGTGTAACGGCGATTTTCCTGCGTTACGCAAGCTAAAATTCTTGCACAAATTCTGTATCCATGTACTGCCAAAAATCGCCAAGGGGTACCCTAAAATATACTTTTACCTTTAATTCAACACCAAAATTGCAAATTAATTTTAAAAAGAGCATATCTTTAGAATTTCCGATACAGTCTCTCACGCTGGAGATAAAAATGTTCCCCCCCCCTTACAGTGTTGCCACTGCTCATTTGAAATCTTTGAAGTTCTTAATCAAGAACTCATAAATGCTTTACAAAATATGAAATAGATAATAAATTCCAAATTCGGGCTTCCAGATTTCCATTTTCGGGTGGAGATTTACATTACTCAAAATTTGATGACTCTAGGTACCATTGCTTTAGAGCGATGCAAGAAACATACATACATTTATGCAGATTCTTCATTATTTAATTTCTTTAAATATAATACAGGGCAATAATATTTGAAAAGTGATTCAGACTTTTAATGTTTTCGGCACAAAATTTCAAAGTAAAATTAGTTGAATTTAAAGAAACAATTAAGAAAGTAATAAAGTAAGCTAAATTAATAGTTAAATAAAAAATTTCGGTACTTTTCCGTTTCGGTGGCGCAAATCTCGCCAAGCAGACTTTATTGGCGACAACATACAGTATACACATAAAAAATATTAAAAAAATTTTAGTTCTAAGAATTCTTTTTTGAAGGCATAAACATTTTAAAAAGTATGGTTCAACTCCTAATTCGCCGGTTCGTATCACGTGACCCCAAGCGATCTCCTCTCACGTAAACTACTCTACAAAAATCTAATGCTCTCAGTAATTATCTACATTAATTTCAAGTTAAATCTTAATTTGGAACACAAGTTTAAATGCAAGAAATATTTCAATGCGTACGAATAGCTTACTCAGAAATTGTGTAAAACTGCAGTGCTTTACTTCAATAATGCATTCTTATTAGAATTGATGAATTTAACCCTTGACTTTCCTTTTCTATATTTTCGGCTTCGGGTAAGCGCTGTGATTGCATCCTAATTGACTTAATTACCAAAAATGGCCTTGGACATAAAACTGAACTATCTGATAAAAAAATTCTATGTAATTATATGCCAGTATTGAAAGAAACAATTAATCTGATTAGAAAAAGCTGCGACTTGTTTTGAAAATGAGGCGTAAAAGGTTACCAGCGAGGATATTCCGTTTGGCTTTGGTTGTACCATCATTGGCGACTTTATCACTTGCGCCAGCAAAACGGAAAAGTACCAAAATTTCCTTGCCACAGTTCATTTTAATTTGGACTCGAACTAGAATTACGATTTCATACAAAAACAGAACTGGATTTCAGCTGAATTTAAGCCATGACACTCACATCATAAATGTTGTGATAATTATCTATCCAGTCATTTGCATACCGCTTAGATGCTTGAATACTACAAATATCCAGTAATACTCATTCATAAATATCAAATTAATAAGATCTTACACATAAAAGCTAACAACATTTGTCATTTATAACTATAAGCCTGTCATGCCATTTACATATTTCAAATTTTTTATCTAACCTTTAGAGCAATATTTAAAAATTTTCCTTAAGTAGTTATTTTTTCACTTCTATATTGGCCACAAGATGCATTTCAATGGCTAAATGTTCTTTAAAAGTTTTCCAGACTGATATGACAATCTACATCGCTTCCCATATTAAAGAGTTAAAATTTAAAAGGCACTATAACTTTTAATGTATAAAATAAATAAAACTTACAAAATATGAAAAGCCAATTATAAACAATGCATAAATGTTTAAAATGCCTTCATTCTACATATTTTAATAATTAAGGGTTAATTTGGGAAAGCATCATATTCAACATGTACGGAGGAAACAGATATATAATCTTCTAGCAAAAGTAAAATGTTTAGATTTTAAAGCTCCTTAACATATTCAGAATGAAATGATTATTTACATTTAACAATTATTGAATTTTAAGTTTACGAAAGTTATACCCCAAAACGATCCACTTATATAAAACCTTTACTTATCGTTTACAGTGCTAGTTAATACAATAATAAATACATAAACAAATAAAGCAATAGATAAATTAACACAAAAACCTTTTCAACAACTGTTATTCCAATTTCTTCCATGATGTACGAAAATAATACAAAATCTACCGGATAATGACAACACAATTTGAGGAAAGTTTATAACACTAAAGGAGTTGCGTAAATCTCTTGCTGCTTTCAATGCGCAGATTTAGGCTAAATTAAAGTACTTATAAACAATAATTATCGACCAAAACCGCAGAATTTACAACTAAAAAAATATTCATATAAAAATTCTTTAATAAAATACTAAGATATATGCAATATATCTTTAGAACTTTAACAAATTTATTCGTTGTTACCATCTATCTATTTGGCATTTAACAGAAATACTAATCGGCCCAGAACAAACCAAAAAATACCGCTTACAAAGCCTTTTTTCGTTACAAATAAATGTAACTTACAGAGCTTTTTTCTTTAATCCCGCCTTCGTTTACAGAAAAGGTAACCTTCAGCATGTCATTTCCAGAACAAGGTTCCAACGCGCATGTTAGTGATGCATAGAGAAAGAAACAGATATATATACTCATCTATGTCTTTACAAATGACACCATTTTTCTTAAAAAGAGAATTAAGATCATAAGTATAATAATAATTTGAAAGATTTGTCTTATTTGATTTGTTATTTCAATTTCAGCTTGTTGCACTGTTTGTCGTCAGAAAGATAGGTTTTATTTCGTTTTTCATTCTTTTTTAAATGTTTTACAGTATATCCATCCACTAACACGCACCAAATATCAAGTGGACGGTTTTACGGGTCTAAAATTAGTGCTTTGAGTTTCTTTTGATTTTTTTTCAAATTCTTTTCTGTACGAATGATGTCATTGTCTTCCTTTTTGCCTAATCCCTTTTCTTTGTAGGTATTTAAAAGTGATTCTTCTTCTGAATCCTTCATATTATGGTGTGATTCAGTTCTAGGAGTTGAATTATTTTAGAATTCTTTACTATTGCTAACACCTTGGTCAGAATCAACACCGACTCTACTTGTTGTAGAGTCGATGTTGTCAGAATCCGGAACTCTATTGGAATTTCATGTCTGATGTATTTTTTAATTATTGTTACTACACCTGATTCAAAATATTCGTTTCCATCCATTGGAGGGATTTGATTACTTGCAGAAGAGTCTGTTTTATTTTATTCTGTCCATAGATCTATTATATTAATGGTATCTTGTTTTTTTATACTTCCACTGGCGAAGCTGCTCAAGCTTGTCCATGTAATGTGGAAGTGAAAGATTCGATACCAAATTCTTGTCCAGCCTAAGTTTGATGTTCGCTGTGTCGTCTTTCAAGTGCTTTTCTGCTTTTCCTTAAAACACTTTTGCTAGCATCCCCTTTTGCATCAATATTAATAAGCTCTTCACTTTCATGAATTTTACCTTCCCTCATCCAGAACATTTTCTCAGAAATGTCTGCATTTTTACTAACAGTTGAATTTTAAAGATATTTATATGCCTTCTTTATATTTCTTTCCTGATAACATAAATTAAATTTAGTGCAGATATCGATAAAGGGAACATAGATTTGAAATTTAATACTTCAAATTATTACTTAATTGATAAGTACTACTTAATTGAAAATACTTCAAATTATTACTTAATTGATAACTACTGTTATTTGGCGACATTGATATATTGATAATGTCGTTTTTTTTTTATTAGGCTTCAAACTGTAGACACAAAAAGTATTTATGTATTTTCACAAAAAGATGTAAAAGCAACTGTCGCATATAAAGAGAATGAGTATGCAACTTGTTTGAAGTTCAAGATACTTAGAAGCATTTGAGAAACAAAGCATTGGTTGGTAATAAGACCACTGTCGCTGTTGATATCAAGAAGAAAGCAATATAAATATTATTACAAAATGTACAGGCGCTGTGGGATGGCTTCTCCGCAAAGCACGTTTAGGGTTGCCATTAATGGCAAAGGAAGGCACGGTTGCCACATTTGGCGAGAAATCTCTCATTTGGCGATGTTGGGCGATAAAATTGGCGATATACCATGGACGGTTGGAGAACCTTCTGGAACGAATTCTTACCGGTTTAGCCCAGAATGTTCCGGAACACAAGCCGAAAGCTATATTTTAAAGGATTCGAAAATAACTATGGATTTAATATGAAAAAAACACTTTAATTGCAGATATTTCCAAAAAATTTAGAAGCAGTTATTCTTACAGAAAACGATAGAACTTATTTTCAAAACATAAACTTAAAACAGAGTTGAGTTGTAGTTGGTCTTACGCAAACACTATATAAACCCTGCTGGTCCGCAGTCAGTTAGTGCGTCTCAGAAAGTGTGCCTCGTCTAGCGAGCAATGCGGAGTCGATCGAGTTGGCAGCCGGGCAACGAGTGCCGAGTGGGTCGTCGAGATCACCGAAGGAGTCTCGTAGTCTATCGCGGTTAGTGCATCGTCGAGAGCGCGTGTTGAGCTCCAGGAACGACTGAACCGAAGAAGTCGGGAGCTGTGCTCGTGTGTCGTCGAGTGAATTGCGAGTTGTAGCGTAGAGAGTCTCGAGAGTACGTGAAGTTCCAAGAACGACCAAGCAGAGTCGGGAGCTGTACTCCGGAAAGCAGAGTCGGGTGCTTTGCAGGAAGCTATCTCCACCGTTATTGCCTGACAGTGCTATGCCGCTGACTGTCCAGAGTGTTTATAGTAGATCTTCGACGACAGTAAAAAGTGTTATTGGAGCTGTCCTGATTAATATTGGCTAAATAAAGTGTGTTTCGATACTTCATCAAGAAGTGTTGTAGTTATTCTCTCCAAATCCACACGAACCCCGTACGAACGTGAAGGAAGAGAAAAACGTTACAACTGGTGTCAGAACAGAAGAAAGAAAAAACGTAACAATATATATTTCCTTCAGCAGTCTATGCATTAAAAACTGCAATTGCGGTTTTACTCTTCACTCTCACAATCTTAAAGTAGTTTGTATATATAAAATAACATTTCTGCCAAGCAATAAATTAGCAAAATAAATCGCTTCCTAAGAGCAGTTTATTCGTCTTGAAATGAATCGTTTAGACCAATTTTCCAATAATATTTTTCTCTTTTTTAAAAAAAAAGATAAATTTCTTTATCTAAGCAACAAGGTATAGAAACCCTCAGCAATAAAATATTTTTAACTCCATGTACCAAGTAAAGTGAAATGTGGGGGGGGGGGGAATGCGTGGGAGAACTTGATGACTTAATAGAGAAAATCCGTCATCTAAAAACTCGAACTCAAAAAGAAATTTTCTTGGACTATATGATTTGTTCAGATTATGTTTAAATGGATTAGAATTCAAATTAAAAATACACATATATCTCAGCGCATAGAAAAATATTTTTCTTGGCACTGAGATATGTGTGTAAACTACGTAACGGTTAGCGAAGGCTGACCACTAGTTCGAATGGAAAGGTTTAGGGTTTTAATCCCATATAAGGATTAGTTATTTATGTGTTCTTACGCCTTCTTGTGAGCTTACTATCATACCATCCCTGTTGGCGTATCCTGTATAACGTTTTCGGTAATGAGACAATTATGTAATTGATTGGTTCGGCTAAAATGCGTGAAAAATATGTGTCCGGCCATTCGCGGGGAAAAACAGAATAAAAGTCGACAACCCTACCTTTTATCTTCTGTATTATACTTTTTATTATGAGTTTACTTATCAGGACTTATATGTCTTTTGATTTGCTTTGGAAATATTACATGTCCTGAATAGGAACAGGGAGCTTACTAAAGCTATGTTCAAGTATGTGTGGAATAGACGACACAAGCAGGAAGGGTTTACTTTGCCCTTTATTCTCTATTAGATTACGGGTGCTCTCGTACTTCGGGATACAGAGACCAACCACTCGTACTCTGAACGTAAAAATATAAAACTACTAACTAAAATTCTAACTAAAAGCTAACTTTAGTTTACAATTGCCTAACACTAAGACTGGCCTTTTTTAAAAGGTTACGTAGGTATTACGCAAACTGCTGAAACTACAATACGTTTTAAATATCAAGAGGACTAAACCTCTGGCCTTAAAGGCAAAGAGCAATTGATTGAAAACTCGTAAGAATACAGAGGTGAGGCAGCTCACTTCCCCTCTCTCTCTAACTCTTAGCAAAAACCACAACTTAAATACTTGGTCGTTAGCAAGTACAATTTGCATAAACAAGTTAAAGCATTTAATTCTGGCCGGAAGTGGAAAATAAGAAAGGATAGCACAGTTTTAAAATAAAATAAACGTTAGTAAAACTTAAGATCCTTACATGCTTAACTTTCATTTCTTTAATTATTTAATGTTCTCGAATTTATTATCAATTTGCCCTTTTTCATTTAATTTTTACGATATGTTAATCCCTTATTTACGCAATTATTATTAATTTGTTAATATTTTCTTCCCTTTATATTTTATTAGTCCAAAGGGGCTTTGTCCCTGAAGGATTATTGTTTTCGTTTTTGCGATTTTGCTTTGAATCACTATAAATGTCCGTTTCGCTTTTCAAACTGTTGCCACCATATGTAAGAGTCCTGCATTACATTTGAAGAAATTAAACAATGAAAAATCTGCATAACTGTATGTATATTTCTCGCATTGTAATAAAACAACAGTACATGGAGTCGTCGAATTTTGAATGATGTAAACCTCCTACGAATATGGGCATGTGGAAGACTAAATTTGAAATTTCGAATTTGTTTTATTATCGATTTCATATTTTGTAAATCTTTAACGAATTTTTGATTAACAAACTCAAGGATTTTAAAGCGAGCAATGGCAACACTCTAATGGGGAAGGGAAGCTTTTTATCTCTAGCGCACGGAACTGTGTGTCGGAAATTCTAAAGGATATGCTCATTTTAAAATAACTTTGCGACATTGCTATTGAACTGAATTTTATGGTTTAAGTTCAAAGAAGCCAGTAAATAAAGGTAACACACAAAACGTTAAAAAAACGCCCTTTTGGACGTAATTTAAAATCTGAAACCTTTCAGGTTTTTTTTTTTTTTTTTTTTTTTTTTCCCTCCAATATTTATTGCTTTATCTATTATTTTATTTATACATTTTTCTCCTGTTTCTGGGGGCATTCGATAGAATTCCAGCATTTCTACTGCTAAAATTTCCGTTCAGAGCTTTTCATATACGAGGGATAAGGAATAGATCTTCAGTAAATTAAGAACAGGAAAATG